GAAGCGATAATTAGTGTAAATGAAAATTAAGAAATTGGTAATATCTTCGAATAATTTAGGATTGATTAGTCATCGTAACTTTTAGACATTGAAAAAAAGTTTTTTTTTTTTGACAATAAATATGCAAAAATAAATACGAAACATTTCAGCAATGGTCTTTATTGCGATGTATCTATCAAAGTTTTTCTTTTTCTTTTTTTTGTTGCACAACTAAATTTTTGCATAATGAAGGGAAAGATAAGAAGAGAGATAAGTGCACGATTGATATCAATTTATCACATTCTCTTCCAATACTTTTTCTTTTCAATAATGTAATAAAAACCGCCCATTGAGATCATATATGCAATTTTGTTGTAATGGCGAAAAAATTCATTTCTTCTGTCTATTGCTTATCAAGTTATTGCAATAGAACTAGCAAGTATGAGGTGGTCAAAGGTTTACTCGATATATCTCAATGGAATTAGGGTGAAGCACAGATATGAACTGGGAAATGTTCAGTGTAATTATTTTGTTCTGGAATGATCGATTGGATTTTTAGTTTTTTTTGTCGCGCTTTTGTAATTGTAATTATTTGCTGGAGTTCATGATGACATCGTTGCTGATTTGCAATCTTTATCTCTTTTAAGATGAGTACTAAAAATTTTCGTAAATTTTCTCATTTCAATATGTATATATTTAGTCGATATAAGGCGGTATGCATCAAAGCGCATTAAAAATTGTTAGAGCATATATGAGTACAAAATTTTAACTTTTTAAATTGTATGAATTTTTAATGTTGTTATTGTTTCATCATGAGTAATGTTTTGTGAAACCTATAAAACTCGACAGTTAGGAATATGTGATTGTATTTACGCATTTATAAAAAACGATCTGAATTTTGTGCGCAAAAACGTCAGAAATCAAAGAAGCAGCGGAATTGGCTGAAAATTTAACAATCTGGAAGTTGAAACATATTGATAATGAAAGAGAAAGAGCATTAGATTTTTTTAATTGAAATTGATATATTCATTCTTTGTAAAGCTAAATTCGTTTGAAAACGGCAAAAATTTCAAGAATGACTTAAAGGCAGCTCGATTTGTTCAATTTCATCATTTCATTTATTTTGAGAAGAAATGTAACAAGCAAGTATTGTATTTTTAATTAGTTCATTTGCTACAGTTTTTAAGTATTTAATTTTATTTGTAAATTTTTTTTAAAAGTTCATTTTTAGGTCAGGAATTCTGACTGTAATTCATTTAATAATGCGTTATTCACAGTGTTTGTTTAGCTGATTAAACACAATTTGAAATATACGTTAACAGCTATTAGTGTATTTAGCATGCTTATTTCCTTTCATCGGAATAGGCGAAGATTTTTTATAAAATCGAATAGAATTGCAAACAACTTTGTTTACTAAAGAACAGTTTTGTTAAGAAATAGGATACTAATACAATTAGATATCATATAACTCGTTCTGGTCGATATATTTTCAAAATTATAAAAATTATTAGTTTAATATTTAAATTTAACTGTATCCATAAAATGTCATGTGCCCAAATTACATTTATCTTTTTAGGAAATATATATATATATATATATTGTTTTTATTAACATACGGCTTTTTTTATTCTTTTCTTCTTCAGCTTAAAAGCTACAAATTAATATATGTAGCAAAGATTAATTTTTGAATGTAAATTTCACATATTATTGCGAAAATGAGCAATATACAAAAGTGTTATTAGTTAATAAGTTTATTGAAAGATGAGAAATGTTTTAAAGCACGTTTTGAAAAATGATGTAATTTTAAAATTATTTCTGATTGGATGAGTTCTTTTTTTGAAATGAATGGATGAAAAAACAAAATTGTAGTAAACGAATGCTGATGGTAGAAGAGATTGTTTACCGCTGCGACAAAAACGCCGCTATTGGTGATAATATATAATGATGATTCATTGTTTATTGAAATGACAATAAATTGGTTTTATCCTTTACCGCTCCTTTTTCTTTCCGATTGCTATGTGTTTCTTTCACTTTTATTGGTTCCTTTATGCTTATTTTTCTCTTTATAATTATTTCCACATTTTGGTGTTAGATTTACCAGATAGCTGTACTGCTTATCGGCTTAAAAAGACATATCGTTTGTTGTATTGCATAATTTGTGAGCTATTAAAAGTTTGTTGAGAATTCCTTGAAACATTCTTTTGTTTTTTTAATGAAAATATCGAAGAAAAAGATCTTTCCAGAACTTTTTCATTTCATTGTTTCGCATATTTCAAATTAATTTCCCCATTCTAAATATTTCGTTCAAAATTTTTTCGTTACAATCTTCTGAAATGAAAGAGATTAAATGAAAACACTTTATTACTATATTTAAAATGATGGAAGTGTCAATTAGTTTATATTCAGTGAGCATTCAGTGATAGTATTCTTTCGTAATAATAATACTATAAATATGATATGTTTCTTTCTAGTAGCTTTCTAATCCCTCTTTGAAACGATTTAATTGATATAATTCGCTTGACATCAATCAATTCATTAATTTCAATTGTGACTTATTTTAATGATGATAACCTTAATAATGGACATGTCGAAGTATTTCGCTTAACCAAACAGCTAAATTAAGCAATACATAGAAATGATATAATTAATGTGAGGTATTGATTATTTTCAGATTTTCAAATGCTTTCGCTAACAAAACAATGGAATATGCGTGTTTAAAAGAGATAATATAAACAAGAATTATTGTGAAGCAATCCGATGTCTATCCATCGTTAAATTTAAATCTTTATTTTTCCTGTCATTTGAATATTTAAAAAATTTATAAAGAATTTGCCAGTAGTCAGAAACGAAAAACCATTCTCTCACTATCTGTAGCAAATGATACCTCTTTAGATCATCGTAATATTTTCAAATTTTCATAAATCACGTTCAAGATTTCAATTGATGACAAAATTATCACGGAATGAAATTTGACAAGAATTCAAGATAGCATGTTAAAAATAGTATGAAATCAGATATTAAGGATAATTAAGTAGAATTAGTGTATTTGAAAACAAATTAATGATGAATTAAGTCAAACTGAAATGGTGGATCGGTTAAAGGAAACATTTACTATTAAATTAAACAAACCACTTTAAAAATGACTTGCTGGCTAGTTAATAGCACTATGAAAAACAATGTAATTATGTAATAACAAAACTCATTCGTTAACATAATTCATGAGTTATATTGTTATTTAACTGTTCTTTCTACTTTATTTAGTAAGGTAAATCAAATTTTCTTCCTTACATTCCTTCTTTATTTCTTTTTAACGAATGAGTTTTATTATTTAAAAAAATTGAAGCGAAAGAATTGGAAATTGCAATTCCCAATTTTTTTGCTTTAATTATTTTGCAAAATTGAAATCAAAGCACAATTTTTCCAGTCTTATTACTTTTCCACTTCCATTATTATAGACAGAATCATTGTGAATTATTTTCAGCGAGAGATAAATATAAGAATGTGTGGCAATATGAGATAAAACTTACTCGTTAGTGGTTGTTGTGCAGAATAGCTACAAAAAATGATTAAAATTATCAGATTGATATTTAAAAAAAAAGTAGATTATGAAAATACATATGCATCTGTAAATTATATCTCTACATCTATGAATTTTTATTGATCATTTCACAAATTCTGTCAAAAATTTTTGATATGCTCGGGAGTATGTGATATGAGTACACGGAATATCTTCCTAAATTTGGTACCATGCAGTACTAAAATTTGATGCATACCTGTGCATCTGTAAGATTATATTTTTCGTTATTCATAAGAGTGTGTGATTCTTTGAAGTATTGAATATATACAAAATGTCATATTTAGTTTTGAAGGTAAGCAGAATGTATTGTACTTTGTTGACAAATGATATTATATCATCAACAGTCGACAATTAATAAAGTCAATGATGAGATCATATTACTTTGTATTATCACCATTATGAGCATTTTGCAGGTGGGTAATTATAGTAAGCTAATTTAGTTGCTGTCTTTAATATCATTATTATTTGTGGTGAACCTGCAAGAGTGGCTCATCAACAAATGCCAGCCAGTTCATATGTTTATGCAAGGACAAGATGAGTCATGTGATTGATCGATTTTATGGCTGAATGAATCAACCAATCAATCAGTCGGCGAAATCTTGCACGAATGCAAGAGATGAATGAATATAAAGTGTCGAGTGAAGTAATGGAATCAAATCAATAAGTTATTCTTCACTCTTGCAAAATACCGATCAAATCGATGAAAAACACTGATTAGTTGATGATATGTGCTCCTTTGTATCAGCCGCTCCTCATTAGGCAATTGATGGTGTGTGCACACCATCTCAGAGAATTGCGAGCCGGATAATAATATTATAACAAAAATAAGGCTTGAAAATGACCGGTTTCGTTAACCCTCTGAACGACTTGGCCTTCTCCGGAGGCAAATGATTATAAAAAGAGCCAATTATAAAAGTATTAGATTAAATTGATAGATGTTTGGGTGCACGAATTTTCGAGATTGAATGTTACTCTTTTGGTCACGCCGGTCACTCGATATGTCCACTGTTTACATCTGGATATAGTAATATAATTTGATGTTTGAAATCTAACGATACTCTGAAATGAAGAACGTACAGGTCACTTTTAGGAGACGCTTCCAAAGCTGCAGATAAACATTATTTGTTTGGAAGCAAAACAAACATAGCAGACGAACTATACAAGGAACCTTTGATCTCTCCCGTTGCAAACTACCTTCATGGATGACGTTGTGCAAGTGATATTGAAATATATATATTTTTTTCTTGTTTCTCACTTATTTGTTTTTGTTTTCACTTCATTCTCAGCAATAACATATAGTTATTTCCAAATCTGTTGCGCACTTTCTTTGAAATTTTCAACTTTCAAACACAAATATTGACTGATAACTTTGAATACTTTAGTGTATCTACATTGCTAGTATATATCTGTATTGCTGTATACTGACATATTGACAAGGAACTGAATGCTCGATTCCCGTGACCTAGAAATTGCTCAGATGGAAAGTCCGAGTACGCCGAATAGTGCAATATTTATCAAGAAAGTAGTGGATTTCCGGTAAGCAATATTTATCTGTCGTTTTGCCAGAATGATTTTCTTTCTCCAAGTTTTGTCAAAATGATTTTCTTTCTCCAAGTTCAGACCGAAAGGTCAAATCACTCATTTGTGTTCGAACAATGGTGAAATGTTGCTGGTAATCGGTGCACGGCAACTTCTTCATTATCCACTTCAAAACACTAATAGACAAATTGGTAAGATTATTGCAATTGCTTTTAGCAACATTCTGGAAGAGGATTTAATGGCTTCTGATTAGCTTAGTTTTCTCTTTCAAATTTGAGAAATTGAATGCGTTTTGGTTGTAAGATTTAATATTCAAATTTTGTAACTTCTTATTTCGTAAAATTATTGAAGATGAATGGTATAGTTTATGCTATTGTGTGTTGCATCATAAGGGTACATTAGATGTGGGCTAGAAGTAATTTTGAGTTTTACTGAATTAATTTGAATTTATAATCTCATTAAATCCTTGTTTTACTAAATAAGGCCAGTAGTTTTTTAAGCCCCAAGTAAGAATGCTTACTAAACTAAACTGTATTTCAGATGTTGTTTTGCCGCTATTAATGCATGATCGCATTGCTTATGTTCATCTTAGCCCTAGCGGTCGCCACGCAATCATAAGTACCACCGGTGCCGACAATTTTTACTTGAATTTGAAACATGATTCAGCAAAGCAGTTGAAAAAATTGAAAGTGAGTGTTTCTATTTTGCACAAAATTGAATTTGGTAAGAATATCGGTAAAGAAGGCTTTATAAGGTTCTTGAGACCACTCAAAATATCTTTTACACAAAAAATTTTGTGTAAAAGATATTTTGAGTAGTCTTAAAGTATTGAAATTTTAAAAATGTTTAAAAACTTTCTAGGGACATGTGATAAGTTCTGTGGGTTGGAATATGGAAATTTCGACAGATAACGAAACAGGTTTCATCGTTCTCGGTACTATGAAAGGTATTTTATGAAACTGAATTATGACGATATCAGTTATTAATTGAAAAAAGATCTATTGACTGCTAAAAGTTGGTATATCAGGTGTTGCTTGAAAATGCCCGAGAATTTTTAGAATAGTAGAATTATCGACTTTTTTGAAGTTTTTGAAGAAAAAATGGTATTTATGTTGTCTACTTGAATTCTGATGCATTTTCAAGCATTTTTTCATAATCTACTTTTTGTCGCCAGAAATTCGGTATTGTCTTGAAAGTTTCAAATTACAGGTTCTCTGTTTGAGTCATCGATTATTTCAAATGGAACAGTTGCTTATGTTCGTGAACTGACCAGCAATTTAAGCGGAATAAAAGATTTATCCGTGACCGGAATTGAGATATGTCAATGTGAGGATGAAAACCAAAGGTCGAGGTAGTTTTTCCGTTGAATTTTTTTTCACTTGCTTTATATATGGAATTATTTCCTCATGGTATTTTCACGAAATTACCAAGAAACTACAATATTGATTTCGATTTACAAAGTCACCCAATTCTAATTTCATCGTTCTGAGTAATAAACAGTTTTTACGGCAGCACAGGAAAATTGTGTTTCAAACAAAATTGAAATCTAAACACAAGTTTATGTTTTCCCAGGTGGGCTCTGTTTGTATGTCTTCCTGGAAGACTGTATTGTTTGAGCGGACAAATCAATACGAAGCAGGATGTTACTGGGGTGCAACCGGTTGTGAGCACAGTTTGGAGCTCCGCGTTTGCTGAACATAATCCCGCTATCTTACAACCTTTATTTGCATCAAAAGGTTAATTAATACGGATATTTATTTTGTTCCTCAATTTTCAAGTAAATTGGTCTGCTGAACCATTTGATTCGATTCATATTTCTGTATTTTGACCACGACTGATAGAATTATTTTTTCACAAATTTGCGTGTAATCCGTAATATTTATGATTTACTAAACCGTTTTAATTCTGATCTCTTGTTATTTATTTTGTTGATTTGGCAAAATTTATCTCGAACATTTTTAGCACCATTTCGTTTTCATTCTATGGATGATGAGCAACGAAATTTGCCGAGCGCTTTTGTTGTTTATCCAAAAGTGAATAATGAACTGCCTACTATATTTTGTTGGGTCGGTGCTGATGGTTACACATTAGGACGAATAGATTTGACAGCTTCAGAAGCATACGACATGATTATTGAAGAAACACATGTGCAGTAGGTTATCTTTCTTAAACTACTTAGGTAGATTAGAATTTAAGAAACCTGAAAGTGATTTATAGAGGTGCACAGCCTGGTTAATTTTGATGTAATTTGCAACAAATTTTCAGTAGTAGATTTCAGACATCAGTTGATGGATGGACGTTACAGTTATCCCTTGGATATTGCGTTAACAGAATATAACGTTCTGTTGTTGTATAGTACTCATATTGAAGCTATTTCATTACTCAATCAAAAACTAATGTTTGATGATACCATTGGAACGGTTAGTTAGGTGGTTTCAATTAAAAGGAAAAACACTTATTTCATAATACATGGTAATTTAACTTCAAATTTGATGTTTCCTATTGATTTATATTTTCTAATATATGTTCTTTTTAGGATTCTGGTCAAGTGAAAGGGATGTGCCGCGATGCTGTATCCGAAATGGTTTGGGTATATACTGATGCTACTGTGTGGAAGTACCGGCCAAATGAAGAATTCAGGTGTTTATTTTGCTTCTTCATAGACTGAATGGAACAGTAATGATTCTTATTTTTTACCATTTATCTAAGTTAAAATTCTATTGTTTTTCAGAGATATTTGGCAGATCTATTTGGAACGCGGTGAGTGTGGCAAAGCACGAGCTATCACAAGTAAATTGACTAATCCAGCGCCACATCAGCTAGTTATTAAGAAAGAAGCTGAAAAATACATTGCAGAAAAGAAGTATAATTTCATTCTTTCGTTATTCAAATACACATTTACATTTCATCGCTTTCATTAATTTACATCATAGAGAAAAGGACTTTTTCAGAAATTTCTTTCAAAAATTGTAAAAAATAACATGAAGTTTTTAGTTTCACAGCTGCAGCAGAAATCCTTATGGAATCAACCGATCCTTTTGAAGTTATATTACTTAAATTTTTATCAACTAAGGAGGATCGACGAAATGGTCTCAAGCGTTTTCTGGAACTAAAATTAAAGTCGCTATCAAATACAGAGGTGTTAATTTTAATTTATGAATGAAAAAATTTATGTTTCTCCGAAAACTTTTCACTTTTGAATTTTCATCGTTGAATAAGTATAGATTTTTTAGGACAAGATACGACGGGATGCTTTGGTTTTATGGTTGTTGGATGTGCAATTGGCAGAATTTGCAGAGCTACGTCAAAATGTAAAGCAAGTGCAACTGGGAGGAGTAGAGTTAACAAAAGAAGAAACAACCATTGAGCAGCAAATTAAAAATATGCGTCAACAAATTGAACTCTTTCTTGCTCGTTCTATTGTTTTGGTTAGTTTTTTTTTTGGAACAGCTTCAGGTAACTGTGATTAAGTTCTGAATAAAATTTTTATTCAACAGCAAAATTATCGTTTTCTGTGACAGTGTCCTAATGTAAAAATAACAATGCTAAACATGTTGCGAAACTGTAACGTGTCACTTCATTGTTTGTCGAGCAAGCAAAGTGCTTTGGATCGACATTCAAATTTCAGGCAGCAGTGGAGGTAAATCGTGACGCAGTTTACCATTTAATTACTTCACATGCACATTTTGATATTCAACTTTATCTTGCTCAAAAACTAAAAGGTTTATTGCTTCGAGTGCTTCGAATTTTGTTTAATTTATTAAAAGTTTTAAACTTTTGGCCAAAATACATTTTTGAAATACATTTAGATTTCAGATTATGTGACGATTGTAAATGTTTATTTGCTGCAGTCTGACTATGAGAAAGTTTTAGAAGTAATACAAAGACAGGTAATAACTTTTTAATAGCAAACAAACAAAAATAAAGGTGTAACATTTCTCATTATTAATAAATATTTATCATTTCGGACTTTTTGGAATACTTTAGCACTGTTGTTCTAATTTAAATTTTAAAGTTAATTTTATGAATCTGTTTGCTAGAAATTTTCATCTTCCAGCACATTTTCGAGCTTTATTACAAGCACTCTCCAACCTTAATAGAGAAAATACCATCGGAACTAATAGCAGCCTGGATCGAAGAAGGTAAGGCACTTGTATCGGATCGGCTCCTGCCAGCACTGTATCGTTGTCAGGATGTATCGAAAACGAAAATGGTATATAAATTTTAAATCGATTTTGAAATCTAGTAATATCTCAAGATTCATAATTAAAGTGTGTTTTTTTAATTTCTTTTTTTTGTTTATTCAAAAACATTTGTGTTGACTCTTCAAAACAGTTAATTTAAGGTCACTGCTGCTTTGAAATATCTCAATTTTGTAATAAATGAGAATTGGGCAAGCCGATCAATGCATAATTTTATGATAACGCTGTGCGCGGAGTAAGTCATCATTTTAATTCGTTACGTGTTGAACCCGTTGAACCTGAAACTTACCGACAAATGCTGATTTCTTTCAGATTCAAGCCGGAAGAGCTATTGAATTATTTTGAAAAATATGGTTATAACAGAAACTTGGTACCATACGATGTTGAATATGCCCTAAGAGTTTGTGTTGAAAAGCAAGGTATATTAAACTACGTGTTTGTTTTTATACATTTCGGCCTTAAAAATTCATTTACTAATCGTAATTTTCATTTATTTCAGCACTGAAGCGATGTTGCGTTTTTATGTATTGTGTAGACGAGCTATACGACGAAGCCGTTTCTCTTGCCTTAACGGTGCCTATTTTTGAACTCTTTCTTGTTACATTTCACAAAAATTAATGAAAAATTATAGTTTTCGCATTCTGTAGATTGATGTTGAATTGGCAAAAACTTGTGCAAAACAAATGATGAAACCTAATGAAAATGAGTATGACTTTTTGCTGCCTAATTCAGTGAAGCCAAAATTCTCAGTGGATATGCGACGAAAGATTTGGCTACAAATAGGTATATACATTTAAAATTTTTACTCATGTTTTAACTTAGTTTTGTCAAAATAAATTGGAACTTGGTATGACTACATTTTAGCGTTTCGTTTTGCTGCATTTTTGAAGAAAGTATTCTGATCTACCCATTCTGAATTATTATCAGAGATATAATTTTGTTTTTATTTGATAGGGTCTCTGAGATTGACATTTGATTCTATTAACTTGCCTGTTGGCTGATTTCTATCAATTTGCAGCGCGACATGTAATTGAGAAGCAGGAGGATATAGCTGCATGCGTAAGCCTGCTAAAGGAATCTGACAACACTATCAAGATACAGGTTCATCTCAAAATTAAGGTGGGACTTGAAAGTGAGGCCAACTTTTGTCTCATTTTCAAATCCCACTTAATTTTATTTTCAGTTGTACTTTGTTCTTTATAAACAAGAAATCTTTTTTACTCTTTTTTACTGCAGTTTACTTTTTATAATTTCAGTTATACTGCAATTTACAGTTTACTCGTTATAAATTCAAACCAACTGGATCATCAGAATTTTAGCATAATTTTTTGTTTGTAGGACTTACTGCCATTTTTCCCAGAATTCACAACTATTGAATATTTTAAAGGGCCATTATGCGAATGTCTAAAGGAGCATTCTGGAAAAATTAAGGTTAAACTATTTCCAATAATTGAATAAAAAATGTTTTTTTTGCTGTACATTGAAACTTAAATAAATTGCAACTTACATAGTACGCAGGTAATGTTTTTTTCAGCAACTTCAATTGGAAATGAAGAATGCAACAGAAATGGCACAGCGAATCCGCAGCTATATGGAAAAGACGAAGAATAAGTACTTTGTTTTGTTTTTTAAAAGAACTTCAGTACTAAATCCCTTAAAATTTCATGCAAATTACTAAAAATTATTTTATATTCCTTTAATTTAACAGCAAATATTAACCTCGGTCCTTTTCCGATTCACTATAATTCGTTCGAACGATCAATGCGCTTCATGTTCGGAACCTGTCATGACTCGACCGTTTTATACATTTACTTGCCGACATTTGTTCCATAAGGACTGTTTAGAATCGGAGATGAAATCTCATTGGACTATGGTATAAATTGCATGTAATTTAAGAAACTTTTGCAAACATAAATATTTCCAAAAAGTCATCAGTAATTTCGAACACTTAATGTAGAATTTTCGTATCACTTTTTGTAAGAGTCAATTTTTTTGGCAGAATAAACTTTTAGTTAATGAAACGAATTAAAATGCTACGATAGTGTTCACCACCGCTATTCCATATTGAATACAGGAAAATTATTTTTACAGGAAGAACAGGAAAAATATAGCAATTTGGTTGAGAAGGAGAGAATACTGCAGAAGCAGTTAGAAAAATCGACATCTTCGAATTGGACTCCAAAGAAAATAAACGGTAAATATACGTGGTAATTCAATAAATTTGCCTTTTTTTACGTTTTATTAAAAAACTTTATTAACAATAATAGAACTTTATATGTTATAGATTTTCAAGAAGAGCTGAAACACGTACGCAATGAAATTAATGATACTGTTGCTGGTGATTGTGTCTTCTGTGGTATTGCAATGATTAAGTGAGTTTGAGTTTTTCATCATAGAATTCATTAAATATCCTGTTTGTTACATTTTATTTTTTATGAAGAAAATTTTGGAAGTTCTATAAAGAAAAATTTTTTTTGTCGGATCATACATACTAAGTTTTAAATAATAACTATAGGTGGTTCCTGAGCACTGATCTCATTTTAAAATTTTGATCGCTATTCTTTTTGCAGCTCGATCGATAAGCCGTTTTTTGAAGAAGACGAATATGAAAAAGAAATGATGACTTGGTAATGGGACTGCAAGGATATATCCGCGGCATAAAATCATGCAAATCTACAAAATACTTTATTATATATGGAATCATTTTTAAGTTCAGCATAGAAGATTGATTCTGAATCAAGATTGTACGATTGTCGCTACTTCAAGCTCATGTTTAAGTGTGCTATTGTTGAATTCGGGTATTTTAATTTCTTATTCACAGATTTTTGCAAAATGAAGGCTCATGAATTGATAAAATTATGTGATTATATTATGCAATTGCTTTAATCTATAGAATGAAATTTTTTTCACTAGCAAGAAAATGTACAATACTCATATTGATTTATCTAATCTTCATAATCGAACAGTGTTATTACGATTCGGGTATTACGTTCTTCCTTGTTTTTAACATTGACAAATAATTATGAATAAAGTTTTTATTACGAAAGAAGCCTATACATCTTACCTAGTTTCCTATAAAAGTAGTTGCGTTATTTCACTTTGTAAGTGCCTGTTGAAACAGTATTATATATCACTCAATGTGAAAGATAGCTTGATGATGCATGAGGTAAATGTATCATTATCTGTTGATTTCATTCATCAAGAAGATCTTCATTTGAGTTCGAAGTCTTGACATGTTGTCGATAATCCAAAGGATTTACTTGTGCTGGTGGCAATGGTGGAAGCGAATTGTATGAGAACTGTGTGGCGGATTGAGGTGTGGTGGTATCACATGGGTGTGTAATCTGTGGAATTGCACCTGCAATCAACTGATTGTAGGCAGTTATTGCTTCCATAAATTTGCATCTTTTTAAAGAAAAGAAATGTGGATAGAACTAAGCGATATGGAGAAAGAGAGGGAAGGAGTTCTGAATTTGAGAATTTGATATCGATTAAAAAGGAATTGCGAAGAATGGATTAAGCACCTTCAGGCATATTGGAAAATGGAGGTTTCGCGTACAGCATGGTCGGATTGATAGGATAACAGCCAACGCCAAATGGGAAAACAGCTGAAGAAAAGCATATAATAATCGTTAAATTTATTTATATTACTATTATTATTTTGCTTTAAAACAAACATTGTTTGTGACTTGAGAAGAGATTTTAGAATTTATTTGCGAGGATTTTAATTTTGTAGTTGAAGATCAGTGAAAAATTGTATGATTCCGAATGGTATTTAAAGACTTTGAAACCCTGAGTTACTATTAAAGTTGCTGTAATAATATCATTATTATTATTATTCACATGAATATTTTTCATTCTATGATTTGCTCTCTTCATTTGTTTTCCATACTATTGAAGGATTCAAAATATTTGAATCTTTCTTTACCTTGTCCAAAATGTTGCGGTCGATATGGAAGAGGTGTTAACGGTTGAAATGTGCAAAAATTTAGTGGATTCGACCATTGAGCGGACCAAATTGGTTGCTGAGTTTCGGTAGGTTCTGCTACAGCAAATGGTGAGCGAGGCTATAATAGTGTTACGATTAATTTTACAAACATTTTTTGTTTCAAAAATCTCTGTTAAAGAGCACTGTGCTTTACTTCCTAAAAAATTCTGATATTTTTAGCGTATTTTTTGATAGATTGGAATTTAGCCAAACCTTATTGCTTTCCGAATCCGCGATATCATTATTTCTAGATCGTCGATGTGAGGTTACTGAGGAAAAGGACAAATGTTCCTGACTGGTAGCTGTATTTGGTGAAGATATCTTCGGTTTGATTAATGATGTTGATGGCAAATCGATTAATTGCGGTGATTTCGTTGTATCTTCTGCAATGTCAATATTTTTAAAATTTAAAACTGATTTAAGTTGGAGTGCTTACTTAATCTATATTATTGTAAAGTTAAAGTGAAAGAACTAAAGTGCTGCTGATAATTTTGCATAATTGGTTGCAGGGAAGAAATGCGTTCATAGATAGATTAATTGTTTTGACTTCTGAAATGAGCTCTGAACGGATTGAGAATTATTACACTTCTAAGATAAATTTGAATCTTGTAGTAATTAGTAAGTCGTCAAATCTGAGCATGCTAAGGCATAGTCTAACTGTAGTTAAGATGTAGTTAAAATAATAATTACTATTGCGCCATTCCCAAGCGGAATAAGAGGGCATCTGCCTATAATTCTTTCTCATGATCCAAGGATAATCCTTCCGTGAAAATTTCTGCTGCAATACATATATGCAATTAATTGCATTTTGATTGTTGACTTGATTCTTTGATGACCTTTGTTTAGTGGAGAGCCATTCAACTGACCTTCTGGCAGTTGCGATGCTAATATGTTTTCGATTAACGTTAATCCCCTATGAGCTCATTAAACATTTTTGCCTGCTAGCAAAGCTCATGATTTAGAGAGAAAATTTTACCGCCACCGAAGATGAGGACTTATAAATAAAATAACGAATAAAATAAAATAGTGACCGCAATATTTAACCTTATTCCTTAAAAGAAAGTAACATTGAAAAGGTCATTAAAGATGAATGTGAAAAGCAGTCGAGACCAGTAAGACAGCTCGAATAGTGTATTACCTGCATGGTGATTCATCGTTTATGATAAAACAAGCAATGTTATTAAGTTGGCAAGGATATGAATTAGTTAAGATTCTGCCTTGCGATCGCATTTTCCTTAAAGCGAAACAAAGTCTAATATCTGTTACCACAGGAATTAATTCAAAATAATTTATGCTCCTATCAACTTATTTAAGATAATACTAAATGCATATGTGCCGCTGTAATAACATGGATTAATTCAACTTTTTAACCTGTCCTATTGGTCACTTATGCTCTAATTGTTTACCCGTAAACTGCGATATGTATTTGTTGAATGTTATGTTGCAATCTGATAGGTGCAATATAGTTGTTAGATGTACACATACCTACAGATCTCAAATTGTGTTTCCTTACTCGTCCTCATATTGTTTACTTATCTATATATACATATCGTCCTTTTGCAGCAAATGACAGTACTTGACTATTACTTACATTCGGTAATTGAACACAAACATACTGTCTTCCCGCTACTTCGTTTTTTAGATTTTCCATAAGGTTTAAACACTTATTTGAAGTCCGCATTCACCAAAGTTTATCTCAGGCTTCTTATCCAAAAACTCCATAGTAAGACACAAAAAATTTAATGACCTACATGGTGTACATTCGGCTAATTTGGCTAATTTCTTTTATTTATATTAGTAAACAGTAAAACTGTAATCTGAGTAATTTTTACAGAACGGTCATTGGAATACAATGTCCACTGTAATATGTTTACTTTCACAGCTAGTTGCCTAGGAAAAAGGACAGTAGCATGACAACACAGAACTATTAACAATTGTAGTTGTTATACTGCCCTCTAACTCTCATTTTGACAAATTCGAATTAAAAGGATGTTCACTGATTGGAACAAAGAACAACAAGACTGGTCGGACAAATATTATAAAAGAGGAAGGATTGCAAAAATTTTTTGCTGAAGTATTGTTATAAAACGATGAAGCGTATATTATCAATAGAGGAATCCATAGAAGTCTATTGCAATATCCAAAACGAGTATTCAATAGCTAATTGATCGTATTATTTTAAAATATCTGCGCATTTACCAATTTGCTTTTGCGATACAAATCACCCGTTAGAGAAGGTCAAGAGAATTTGGGAAGGAATGCTTGAAATGGATTAAATGGCAACAGCACGTCTACTGAATAACAATTTCAACGTGAAATAAAATTCAAAATTTGCGACAAATAACCTTCTTCAAGCGATAGTCCACCACCAAGTACACTTTCACTTCTATTATCACTGGTAATTGTTTCACCTTGTCGCATGAATTTTAATAGCTTTCCAGCTGGAAGTAATTGATAGAAAATAGATATACAGTATATAAACTGTGCAAAAAATTAACTTCAAATTAGTGTTTATTGCTGAAATTGAAAGTATCAAATTGCTAAATCAATGATTTAACAAAATCAATGTAAAACACAATCAGAAGAAAAAAATGATTGAAAAAAGAAAACAAACCTCTTTCGACGCCCAGCAATATTTCTAGATCTTTAGCTTCTTTCTCATCCTGACTTTGCTGCCGTCGTAACGCAACCTGCGCTGCCATCACTCTTTGCCGTTCCGCAATTAATGTACATTTTGCGCACAAACAATCTTTCCATTTGCAGTAACGCTTATGTCCTGGAAACACTTTCAAGATATTAGTGTCATTTGAAAATTTTGCAAAACAATTTCTATTCACCTTAATATTTCATTACAAGCATTAAAATTTAATAATACTGTAAATACTTATTGTTGCTAATAGATCAAAGTTTCAAATGTTTGTAATAATTTAATTATTAAAATAATAGTACTGTCCTCATTATTATGGAAATATATTTTATAATTGCTTATGATTTTCATGCAATATCTGATATCCAAAAATCCTTCATCACAAACTTCTGCAAATTATCAATTAGTGCATCTTTTTTGAGGTTACGAGTTGCTAGCAGATTTCGTAAATTTAAACTGTCTGTGAATTTTTTTAACCACTATCAATTGTTCACCTTTCAATGCTGAAACAATGCCATGATTCCGACAACGTGCACATTTCGGTATCCGTTGATTACGTTCCTGCCGAAGTCTTAGAATTTCTTCTATACTAGTGGGACCGAGTCCACTTAGTGATAAATTATTTGGATTTAAGGTCATTTCAACTGCTATCTAAAATTTGAACAGATTTTAGAATAGATGTCGAGCAACAATTTTGTACAAAATATCAATGAAGTTTATGGATCATCTCAATACCCATATAGGAATCATTTAAGACTCGAATGTTTCAAATTATTAATTCAATTATTAAAGCAATACTTAAGATACATGTTAAAAAAATGATAGTAATCGATATTCAAAATTTAACAGGTTTTTAATTTCCCTCATTTTCTTTTTTTTTGAACGAGAAACGAGATTAGCCAAACGAGATTGGCCACCTTAATGACTCACTGTAACAATATTGCTAAAATTCAGGATTTTATTAAAATGAAGTAAGAAGAGAATTTAAAAGACTTTTTATTCTGTTAAGTCAAATGGAAAAGTTTCAATTATTCAATGGAAAACACAGAAGAAAACAGTAAAAATTAAATATTATAATTTATTTTAATTTGTAGTAAACCGTGTCAAAATTTCTATTAAATCTATTGCATTGAATAAAGCTACAGTATCCATTCTTACCTTCAAAGTCCTTGGATTTCCTGCAAGATTCCCCGGGGAAGTATGGATGATATTTGAAGCTAATGATGACTTACCTAAGAGCATCTGTAGCTAGGTAAGGCACGCCCCTAGCTCGTTACATTATTGGTTTAGTAGGATATCATTTCATTTTCGAACCACTCCAAAGATACTGTCATTGCAGGCTTTTCACAAGGAGATACGATGAAGTGCCTTAGGCTATATTAATATTGAACGACAACTCATCCATTCTATAGCATATATTTTTTGAAATTATGAAAAACTTTCAGCTTTGTGATTAAATTTAATAAATTCTTGAACAATGCTGATACACACAAATGGATTTTTTCTCGAAAATCCAACAAAAACCATTGTATCTCCTCTCTTCTCATTTATTTTCCTTATAAATGACAATTTAATTCCCTGTAATTCTTTCACTTGATGACTGACTCAAAAAATGAATTTGACTGCTGCCTCAATGTAACTCTATCTTTTGGAGGTTATATCATTTGCTTTTGGAATAGCTGGAAAAACTCTCATAGAATATTTATTCACCAATAGGATATTCACTTGAATATTCACTTCGAATCAAGAAATTTGGAAGCAAGACAATCAAACATATTTTATTCATTGGGAGAAATTTCAACTTTATGATTGACTTTCTGATAATCCATTAGCTCATATAATGATTCACAACAGAATCCACCTAAATGGCTTATCACTCGTTAGAAATGCTTAATCCTATATTTTACCATTATCTGTGCTAACAAAGAAAAGCAAGCTCAAAAATAATCGTTACAAACTCCTATGACATTAGCATTTTCTCTTTGAAAGGGTTAGAGAATAGACGACATTGTTTTTCAGATATCTTACATTAACTTCAATGATACTTCACTTTAAAAAAAAGCCCACTTGTGAGCACCGTAATTGTACTGGTGCTATCGCCAAGAATATTACGCAAATCTAATAAGTAAACCAAGAGAAGTTATGTCTAAAGTATTTTTCTTAACCGCCATGTTTACATTAACGATTCATGAATAGAATAGGAAATTTTGATAAGATCTATGATCGATCACATTTCTTATGCAATATTATACTTAGAAGGAGAAAGGATCGGTAGCTGTTCATATTGAAGTGATACTCATTAAAGAGAATCCGATGAGAGATTGGTACTTCAGTTACAGGACTACGATAATACTTCTTCTGCTATTCTACTTGATACTTGACTTCTTTTAATATACTATTTTCCAACGAAATAATAAACAAATTAATTTGACGCCCTTTTCCAAAATGTGATCATACTGCAAATGACATCTCCTCATGGCCATCTCAAAAGTTTTGATTTGCAAATGCAAATTTGTGACTACCACAGTGTTTGAATATTCATCATTACGAAAATTGACTCACTTGAAATGATGAAAATATCAAATTTATGAAAATTACTTCAAAATTTTTGATCTCAACAGGGATAAGAAATTTAAATTGATGGTTTTACATGTCACTGTTTCTGCTTAATAATTTCATTTTGAAATTGAATGCGAATTTTTTTATTAACTCTTACAACCAACAACAGTGCACGCGAAACTATGAAATCAGTCACTTCTATCACGCTGCAACTATAAATCCTCTGATTTATTATATAAACTTACATATAATATATCCTGCGCATTTATAATTAATATGCTAAGATTTATTAGCTAAATTTACATATATCGTGTATAAAAAAATAGCAACAGACTATAATATCAAGCATATCAGAGACTTTGCAACTATCAGCTGAACTTTCAAATTGGCCATAATGTATCAGAAAAAGAAATCGATTGATTCTCAAATGACCTCGAAGATCGATATTTAGTATTGCTCAAGAATACGTTAACTGGAAAACTTTTTCTTAAAGCATTTTTATTAATTTTTATTGAAATATACATTGGAATTTAAAATCCGTATTTTATATTTGTTTAATGATGAATTTGTCTTCTGCGCAGGTATTTGAATAAATTCATTGATTTGACTTTAAAATGAATTCGTTGCATAGGCATGACAAAGGCCATTTGATGTAAGTAAAATATTCCAAGACAACTTTGAATTTTTTTATAGTTAATTTAATTAGCTGTGTTTATTATTGAGTTAGATATCCAAAAGGATATGTCGGAAGCTTATTTGCGAGAAATTTAACTAACCGAAGGATCATATCATTTACTTGTAAAGATGAAGACTTTGTGTGCAATATTTATTAAAAGGAAACAGAAATATTATTAAGCACTTGTAGTAATGTAATAGTGAATATATTTTCTTTCCTAAATTTGTAAAACATTGTCATTACTGTGGGCTTTCAGAAATGTAAAATTTGAAATAAGCATTATAGATATTGTTATCATTCTAGAATTGTTTGAATCTCGATTTTCATAATTTCTGAATTTCTCAAATTATCAAGTTTAATTTTCAAAATTTCAAAGTTCCAAATTATGAATAATCAATGCAAGCAGTAATAATAGGATATTGATAAAATGATATTAAACTGATTTTTGCAGTGATAAGTAATTAACTAAAATGGTACTTGCTCTATAATATTAATAAGTCAGCTATTCATCAGCCATACTGTGCCATCAAAATAACATTATTCCAAAAGTTTAAAATACACTAAAATTTAAATTAAAATTAGACCAGCTAATTTTAACTGAATATTTGTTCAACTGACTTACACCATCACCATTTCAACGTTTCAAAGCTACATCTTCCATTTCATTCATCAAAAAAAACTTCAGCATTTAGGATATTTGTATATCTGTTTAACACTTCGAATAGATTATTTGGTGTTTGTAATCCAACTTATCTCTTATCACTTATCACGGGTAGATGTGTTCCATCAATTATGGTAACAATACTAATCTTTTTAAGCTCTTTCAGCAGTTAGAATTGCGTTCCCTAGCAACATCATATCTGGACTATTTTTTTTATTTTTTAAATTGTAACATATTTCTCGCAACCTCTGAAACCATCATTGCTGTGGAATAGAGGTAGATAACTAAATCTCCTTTTCTTCTTCCCTCATTTTCCCATTTTGATATATTTGACCTTTTCTCTGATTTATATGAAGAAAGTACAAGTTTCCGATTCAATTGTTACATACTGCACTGGTCAAAGGTCACTGTTGAAGATAGAGTGGAGCAGTTTATGCAAATATCCTTTCGTTTGGTCGTTGCAATAAACAGTTCGTCTGCTCTTTTTTTCCCACATGTGGTCATTTATTTTTTTGGCGGTCTTCGTATGAATTCTTCAAAAATTTCCTCCTTGATTTCTTTTTTTTCTTTATTCGTTTTTTGCTTTCCATAACTTTTATATTTCGCTACAAATATTATTCGAATCCGAACTCTTCTAAAAAGCTCATAATTTTTTTAGTTATATATATTCATAACTTATACAATTTTATATTTGAATAAATCTGCAATTTCATGTTTGAATATATTCATAATTTTATAGCCGAATATGTTTACATTTTCACAATTGTATATATGTTTTTCCATAATTATGTTCCGAATTAAAATTCTGCATGCGTTTTCTATAATTGTTTGCCGAAAATTCTGCATGCGTTTTCTATAATTGTGATGAATTAAAATTCCGTAGAAGCTTTTTTTGTTTATTTATTTTAATTCGATTAAAAAACATGAAATAAATATTGACCTATCATTTAGTAGTAAAGTAAAAGCAAATTTTAACCATCAGTTAATCCTCTTGCGAATCACTTTTCTGCGGAATTTCGAAATTAAAGAAATCATCCTTGCAAAAATATATGCACATAATCTTTTAGAAGACAAACTTTAAACGAAAGTTAATTATTTTTGATGATTTAGATGATAAGTATACGTATAATTTTGTTAAAAATCACTGTTATTTAATATGATAGAGAGGCAATATTTTCGGAATCAATACGTCTTTCTACAGTAAATTTTCTATTTCGATACTTTGTAACACTTAAAATAACCTTAATTTTTTCCAAAATAATTATTGATGTCTATAAGAATTAATCAAATAATAGATGTATTTTGAGAGGATAGTAAAAATATATTTTGATAATTACTATCATTACTCCATATACTACTACTATTATTTCAGTTATTCTTTCATCCATCATACGACAGAGATTGTTTGTCATATCAATTTTTGATTTTTAAGGCAGAAACATTTTATTTCACTTTGTTTCTTTTCTTGTTTCTTTGTTTATTGAGTGATTCATTACTATAAATTATTTCCTATCGAAAATTGTTTTTACTAATTAAACTTTGTTACTTCTATTCCAGAGAGCAAATTTACGTTTCAGTTGATATTACTAATTTTGTCCAAAATTATTTCAAATGATAGCGATCCATTATTGATTTAACTTCAAAAGTAGCCAATAGCAATTTTATCAATATTGTCAACTGTTTAGGCTGGAGAAGAATGTCTCCGAATAGAACATTCTCCATACACTCTCATCTTTCCTGCTTTTTTATCGTATTCAATGAACAAAAGTTGGTCTTTATTAATTATAACGCTATAACGTTAGGCTGTCAAAGAGATATTGAAATAACATTACTTTACACTAACTAACATATAAATATTAGGAAAACGAGCCTATCATATTTCTTGTTTTCTTTTTGGCTTTAATTTAATAAAAAATATCTCTCTGTTTTCACGTTACACTTATTTAGGTATAAACCATTTGTCCCATGTAATAGCCCATATTTTCAGGTGAGCCAATGGTTCACCTCAATTACTCTTACTCTCGCCTGAAGGTAATTGAGCTCGAAAATCCTTAGAATACTTTGTATATGGAAAATAACAAACAGTTTCCATTCCTTTCTCTCTTCACTCATTTATTTGCTTAACAAAGTATTTATTCATACAGGAATATTCATATCATATGTCTTTTGTCCATTTCTTCTTACATCACTTTTAATTGTATACTTTAATTTTTGGTCGGTTGAAAATGTTTGTCGAAGTATATTCAAACATTTATGCAATTTAATTTTATACTTTAATTTCTGATCAGTTGAAAATGTTTGTGGAAGTATAACTCAAATATATTTATGCAATATATTATTTTTAGTAACCCCATACCAAAAATTTTTTTGAGCCAAATTTACTGCAAACTGTTATGAACCCATTCATTGCATCCATGACATTTTTTTTCTCTGTCTCCTGTCACATCTTATCTTCATTGACGAATGAAATTTAAATTAGATTTCAAACTGTTACAGCTAAAAGTTTATTAAATCTTATCTTCTTACAAACATCATAAGTTTTCGTCTGATTTCAATTAATTATTCATTCTTAATTCATCATTTTGCAATTAACTTTACTAAGCCTTGGTGTATTAATAACCATGCTAATATGATGAGAGACGAATAATTAAACAATTGTAATCGATAATTATATCTCGAGGAGGGATCTCACAATTCAGTGAATATGAAGATAGATCACAATCGTATTCTACGATGTAACTGATTTGGAAAGTTAGAGCAAATTTCGTAAAGTTTCAAGCAATTTGCACGTAGTAGATCAAATTTAGATCAAAGTTTAATAAATTGTAAATGTGAGCTATTAATGATTTTTTAGATATTTATGATTTAACGATTAATTTGCTCAATAACTTTTGACTTTTTTGAATATTGCTTTGTCAAAGCTTCGAAAGCATTAATATTTCCTTAAAGCATTGATAACAATTGGATTCTTTTTCATCAGCGCACATACTAAGCAAACATTTTTTTTTGAATTATTCAATAAAAGTATTTCTTTTTAGTGAAAGCTATCATTAAACAGCATTTCCCCAAAAATTTCTGCACTCATTTTTAATCATACATCTTTCGCACGATGCCGCCCGATCGAGAAAATCACGTCATCGTATATTTCATGTCGCGATATAATAAAACAGTTATATCGATAAATTTTTTCATTTCGAATGAATTATTTCTTTTATAGGATGAATTTATAATGTAATGAACAGTTCTAAATGTGATACTTACATATGCACTCTTTAAAAATTTGTTTTCTATCCTTGCAAAATATTTTTGACTTTTGCGAAAAGAGAGAAAGTATACACATAAAAATTTCTTGAATCATACAAAATCTTCAATATTGCATGCAAAAAACTCCTAGAAATGTGTATTCTTCTTCTTTTTTTATACTTCAAAAAATTAATTGCAATGTTACTTCAAATTTCATTTGGTTCCACTAAACTGCAAAGTGATATCATGTAAGGTATGATCTGAAAATAAAACTTGCATCCACTTACAAAAAAAACCAACAATAATCAATTACAAAATTATCATCAGCATAACGTCAAGAAAAATTTGCTATCGCTTGCAGCCTATCCCCTACCATAAGCTTGTCACAAAGACTAAATTATCATTTGTAAAATAGTTAGCATCAAAACTTTCATGAAAAGGAAGTTGGAAGGATGAAGAATGATTTCGATATTAAGTTACATCATACAACAAATTTTTTCGTAAAACTAGTTTTAAAAGTAGTAAATAGGCATTTCTTGAACTCATAAATTTTATGCTTGAAATATGAAACTTATAAAATTTGCAACTATATTTCACAACTATAAAAAATCAGTCAGATAAAATGTTGTTGATTACTGCAAAAGTAAAAAAACAAATATTGAAGGACTGCAAGAAGTTAAAGCAGTTTTCATTCTGTCAGCAAGGTCTTAAAATTAGTTTCACCGTCGATTCATCAAATTTTACCTGACTGATTTTTTGTTCTTGTCATGCCCCATCCAATTTTCTTTTACGTTTTTCCATCATGGATTCTGTTGTAAATATTTCATTTCATGAAGAACAGAAAAAGATGCTTAATTGATAGACCGAAGAGAACATGTATAGAGAATAGGATGGGCAGTGAAACAGTAAAAGAAATGAACATTTCGGTTAACCGTTCCTGAAAGAATAGCATGCCACAAAATATCATAAATACGCAGTTAATTGGAGCATGGAACTTTCTTTTTTCACTTAGAACTTGACCTTCTCTTTTATCTCGTTCATTTTATTCTTAAAACAACTGCGACAACATTTAAAATTTTCTCATCTTCTCAAAATTTTTTAATTACATTGTTCATTTTAAATGGAATCCAACAGCTTGCTTTCACAGCGAAAAAAATATGTTTTATTATTACACAGATGTGTTTCTTGAAATGAATTTTTGGTTAAAAAATCGATTATTCCATTTTAGAATTTGACACTTAAAACTTTAATTTTTTATGAAAGCCATGGTTTTAAAGAAGAATCTATTTTATAGAACACTGAAGTCTTTTTCAGAACAAACCAATCCTTGTGTTTTTAATCTTTTGATGATCTTCGAAATACTAAGGAAACGTGGCAATTAAAATTTTCGGTTTTTTATTGTGTATGTATATGCATGTCTAAACCATTTTGTATCACTCACAATTTTAAATATTTCAATCAAAAAGTTTAGGTGCTGATTATTTGAAATATGTCAACGGCAGGTGCAGATTCAGCAGTAAATCATCAGGTGTTGTCTCATGAGGCGAATGATAATAATGGAGTACTTAGTAAAACTATAAACAAATCAAAAATTTATCCTTTGGAAGGATCTGCTCATTCAGGTCTAATTTTTCGAATTCAGTATTAAATTATAATGTTTGATTATTGAAATATTATTGCAACTGTTTGTTTTCTTATTGAATTCAAAAGAGCTAACTCTTGTTTACCTTTTTGGATTTTTGTTTGAATTTGTTTTCCAGTATTTTTTAATGAATTTCGTGATTAATTTTTTTCTTTTGAATTTAGATATCCGTAATGATTATGACAATGAAAAAGTTTCACCAGTGGAAATGGAAGAATCAAGAAAAGATCCTACTATTCCAAAGAAACAAAAATCTCTTTGGAAGAGGAATTTAATACAAGCCATTATTCTTCTTTTTGCAATCATAATTATAGCATTAGCTTTTATTGCAGTTATTAAATATTACATCCTGGACCGTTCCCGACCTGAACTTATTTACATTAATATGGTTCGTGGCATAATGATTCATTATAGAATAATTGAACATAAAGTACTGCGCATTTTATTGTTTAACTTAGCAGATTACTTCCAGCAATTTCTTCCCCTTTAAAATGTTTTGCCAGTGTTGCTGGTGATTTTCAATATGTTTTAAATTAAATTTAAAACAAAAACTCAATAACAAAACTCATCGATCATATTGTTGATCTGAAAAACCGAAAAAATTAAGGTACCGAGAATAAAATCAGCATTGACTTCAATTATCTATTGCAGATTTGGCGACATGGTGATCGAGCACCTACTCATGATTTTTTAAACTTTACTGAAAAATATATGATCGCCTTTCCGGAAGGTATCGGAAATTTAACAAAAGTAAGCTTTTGCCAAAGAATAATTCATTTTTACACAAATGGTTTTGCTTGCGATCAATTTTTTTGCATTCGAATTTATTCATTTTCTTAATTGCTACTCAAAAATGTTAAGAAGATATAAGTTTGAATTTTTTGATTACAGATAGGTATGGAACAAGCTGAACAATTAGGCTTATTGTTACGACGTCGTTACATATATCCTGAAAACATCACATCAAAACAGGTGCAATCCATTTTTTCACTTTCCACTTCTCCGCATTCACAACAAACACCATGTTGAAATATTAAGTGATTGATGTGAATTCGAACGGTCTTCTCAAATATCCGACAATCCATGAATGATTTACAATTTACTGGTCATGAAATAACATTCGGGATAATCCAAAATCTTACGCACATATCGGCCAGTTTCTGGAAGAGACGTAAATATTACGTCAATAGGAAATCATTTGATGAAATAATTTCAACCATTCAAAACGTTATTTGTAGATTTATATTCGTAGTACAAGTTTTAATCGTACAATCAAAACAGCGGAATATGTTCTAACAGGAATGTCTTTCTCCGATGTAAAAATTAACGCCGAAATAGCGACAGATGTTGACACGGTATACTTTATGGAAATTAATTTTCTATCTTATTATTTCTACATTACTATTATTATCATTTCAGACTGGTAATCCATTTTTTGAATGTGACGCTGCAAACCAGTTTGTTCGTGATCAAAATGAAAAATATTTTCTGCGAGAAAATTTCAGTGTGAGTTAATGAATAAATTTTAAATTTGAACTATTCATTTTTTAAAATAATGCACTGTCATTAGTCATTTGAAATATTACCGCTGTATCAAAAGTAAGTTTGTAATTCTTGAATTTTAAACCATGTTTATTATAAGTTAATAAATTTCAGGAAATATATGAATTAATGAAACGAGAACTGAACTATAGCGGTAATGCATATAATTTATTCGATACTCTCGTTTGTCTGGTTATTAAATTTCTTTCATTCTTTATATGTGTACACATATGCGTGATCTACGCACGAGATCACACATGCACATACGTGCGTGTATGATCTCTTTTAAAAAAGGATTTTGTAGTTATAATTTTATGCCTTATCACTTATCATTTATAAGACAGTACTTCAATACTGCTGGTCTAAATCTATTGATTTATTCAATTTGTATTTCATACGTAAATGATATAATGCATTTTTAGAGGTAGTGAGATATATACATTTTATGCGCTATAGTGCTTGCTTATTTTTGCGCTCAAAATAAAAAACTTATATCTAAAAAATAATCAATCGATGTATTGATTTTTTATTTTAAAGGTCAATTGTCTTGTAGTTTAAGTTCTTGATTACCGTACAATTTAAAAAAGCTAAAATTACAGAAAAAACATGATTTATTATTGCCGGACTGGTTGAGGGATGAAAAATTGTACGAAAAACTGAAGTTTTTGAGTTGGCATGGCGTTGAAGCAATGTTTGGTTTGGGACCATATAATAATGAATTACAAAGAAAAATTCGAGGTATACATTTTAATTTAAATTCGACTCTATGAAGGATTCCTGTTAATAATATAAGAGATTTATTAGGCATGGGTTGTCTTTGCTATTTTTTCTGTTTGCTATTCCTGTGGAAAAATCATTCTTATACAATTTAAAATTTACAGAAAATTTCAATATTTCTAAAATTAATTTTTAAAGGTGGAAGTTCTCTTCGTGGTGTTGTTAGCCGAATCGCTTGTAAAGTAAATTATTCAGACTGGAAAGCGGTTGATTCCTGTGACGAAAGATTTTATGGACTATCGGCTGCAAGTTTTTTTTACAATTTGTTTCGTCTAAGCTTGTAAAGATAGAAGCCAATTATATTTATGCTTTGTGGGAAAAAAGTTTTGTTTCGATATTTTAAGAGACACTATTAGGCACTTTTAAATATAGAATATTTTAAAAGAATTCAAGCGATTAAAAGCTCGCTTTTCCAGCATGATATGACACTTGTTTCAATATTGTCAACATTCAGCGATATACATTCTATTTTGGGCAAAACTCCATTGGTTAATTACGGAGCTAATATTGCATTCGAAATTTGGCGAATCGATGATTCGTACAAAATGAAAGTTCGGTTTATTTGATTTGCAGGAAGGCAATAATGAGGAAATTAGAATGAGTTATTTCAAGTATTTCAAGTGGTTAAATTGAAGACTTGCTATATAAATTTCCATTAATGACCTCTTTTTATATAATTCTAAGATAAAATAATAATATTGAATTTCACTATTTAAATAGAAAAATTTAATAGCTTAATGATAAAATAATGTTAGGTGTTGTATGCAAATCAGTGGGATGAAGAACCACAAGACATAACAAAATTTGCTCCTGGATGTGACGATTTATCTAAATTTTGCAATGTCACCAAATTTATTGAGCAATCGAGGTTACTCTTTTTCGATGATGTTCAAAAGGAATGCTCGAAGGGTGCAGAAAATTTGACTTCACGTATGTCTTTTCAAATATTCGAATTTCTTCATCGTATCGATTATTTGTTTATGTTTTTCTTTCCTTATATTTCATATAAGACACTACTTTTCATAGGTTCCATTTACTTACTTTTAATTGGTTAAAAAACAGACTGATGAAGGAGACGATCGGAAATTTAAAATTTGTAAATTTGTTATAAAATGAATAACATTCTCCTGATTTTTCTGGTACACAAATCTATCGCAATTTACACATCGAAAAAATTGAATTCAATGCATTATAATATGATGCTATGATGCTCTAAAATTTAATTTGAAATAAATATAAAGTTTTATCATTTAAGAAATCTTCGAATAAATTTTGATTTTTGTAAACAATTTAAAACCCATTTTTTTTTTTTGTAAGATATTGTTAAATTCTTTTTCAGATATTGTTAAAAGATCGATTGGACCAGAGAATATGGATGATGCAATTGATCTCATTGAATTATATTGAAAACGAAGCAAAAAATTTTAATCAAATCTTACTTTTTATTTTGTTAACTTTATATTTTACTATTCAACTCAGCTAAATGTTGCAAATTCTCAAATTGCAAGACAATTTTCAATATTTTTATCCTTTTGTTTGGGAGCATTCATAATCAATTCATTTTGCACTCATTTTCAGCTTCTCAGCTTCTCATTTCTGTATTTCTGTGTCATTTTATGTTGTTATTTCGTAAATGATATGGTACTAACTTTATTAGTTTTGCTCAGAAATTTGAACTTATTTGCTATTACTTTCACTCTATAAGTACCTTTTTATGAATAATTATTTGGGGTATACACATATTCATGTGTCTATAACACATTAAAATTTTGTTTGAAAAAATCTCTTCTTAAAGAAGCGATTGCTTTACAATTCTTTGTGAGTGATTATTCTTAAATGAAATGTTCAAGCGGTACTGACGTACAATTAACATCACATATTTTGTGGGATAATGTCTTAGGTTGAAAAAAATGGACAATAATTGTTAATGTTATCAATTTGTCAATACACAACATTGATAGTCCTTGTAATCCTGCTAATGCTTATCAAACCTGTTCGTTGACACGAGAAAAAAGCATTATAGTAAGAATAATTCTAATTATTACTTTAATTTTTCATGTTTTCATTAGGGATAAGTGACTGTAAACAGAAAGAATAGTTGTTTTTATAAGAGAATGAGTTTTGCTAAAGGATAATCAGGTTTATGCGCTTCTTTCATGATTATATTATATTCTCTTAGGAATGCAGTGTCTTATTTTCAAATTTATAATATTTACAATATCTTATTTTCAACTGCAGAATAGTTTTTTTAAATTGATAATTCATTTAAGGTCGTTATCATGAAAATTATTATCAAAAAAGAATAGTGGGAATATATAAATTAACTAAATTATTCCTCGTAACATATTTTTAAATATTAATTAATGATTCAAATAATATCAGTTCTCCTGCAAATATTAAGAAATGAAATTAAGTGACTATATTCATTTCATTGTTAACTTAAAATGCAGATAAGACTTTAAGAACGAAATGTATGATTTATTTCTATCTGATAATGTCTATTTCTATTTGACTCTAGAAAATAACTCTTTTAATCACGCATTTACTGTTACATTGAATACGAGCTGTTGTGCTTCTTCGCCTCTATTTTCATTGTATATTAAATATTCCATTATGATACAATTAGTTCGCGTTCTTCGTTCTGTAAAATAAATTAATTAAAACAAATTAAAAAATTACAAATTTTAAATTTGTGATGGACTTTGAAGAAGACGTAAAAAGCAATCAAACATGCATTACACATGTATTGTATGCTATCAGAAAGCGTTCATAGGCTCCTGAAGAAATTGTATGCAATATTTCATTTAAAATAGCTTTCAGTGTTCGTTTCAGCGCTGTTATACAAAGTAAAAATTTTTGTTTTTGTCATAAAGTTTTCATTCATTTATCGAACATGTCTTATTAGTCTCATCATAAACTCGCTGCTCACTTTCGGCAATTACTTTTTCTTAAATGCATTAATATCCAATCGATAGTTTAACAAGTCACTAACATAAAAGATTAAAGTATTTAGACATTGTCCAGTCATCACATTCAGTAATTTCTTTTGAAAAATAAACCAGAATTCGACAATAAAGAATATATCATTTATATGAAAATCTTTCGATTTTATTTTAAACCAGTCTTACTGGTTTAAAATAAAATCGAATTGAAAGACTGTTTAGAAAGTAAATTCTTAAAATAAAAATAAATTCTTAAAAACTAATAATAGAATCAAAAAATCCACTTCTATCCAGCGAGCAAAGATTCTTTTTTCTGTTCATATTTTTTTTTTTTTAAAAAACATTCAAAAATCAGTAATATTACTTCGCCAAAGGGCATTGTAATAAATAATTGTTGTCTAATATGCAATCGATAGAATAATTTTTAGGACTGATAAACGAAAATGAAAAGATAAATATAAACGTTTTCGGAAAGAATAGGAATTTGTAAGATTTTATTTGCTATAATTGGTCTATATCCTTTTAAAACTTGCTCTCTTCCATTTTTCCAGATGTTCAAAAAATCAGCCATTCCATTATTGTTAAAGATGAGTTAAAGAACGAAAATTAAAAACAAATTTCAAAAAAAAACAAGACTTTTCGAAAAAAAAGCTTCAGTTTATTGATTATCTCAGTTACGGCTTTGAAATTGCAATGTTAAAAATCAAAAATACTCAAAAATCAAAAATTGAGGATCAATTTCAAAACTTTTAAAAAGTTTTGAAAAAATCCATTTTTAAAAGTGGGATAATTTCGAAATTAGAGTAATTTGAAGTTAAAGCTAACTGAAGTAAGAAAGATGAGGAATTTAAAGATATGAGAACGTATAAAAAGGCGAATAGATGCCAAGTTGATACTTTTTTCATGCCAAACTTACGCCAAATATCGTTTCCAAATTTAAAACACCAATATCGAAAGTTTTATTCGGCGTTTTTCCATTGGTAATGTATGTCTGTGGTATCTTGAATTTCACCTTTCTTTTGCCAGGCTAAAGAATGCTTAGATTTAAAAATTGAAGCTATTATAAGAAAAAAATTCTATTAACAATTTGCTTTCTTTGTATCTTCTAAAAATATAAAACTGAAATGCTATAAAATCAAGAAACGTCGCAAATTAATTGAATTAATTGAATTGAAAAATAAATTATTACATACATTTATATTCCCCTGAAATCTTTCGAAATTCAAATTTTAAATTAAAAAGTTAATGAACAGTCGTATACCTTGATTCCATCGTCACAATCGTGATAAACCTTGAAAACAGGATCAATTGGTGTCAATTCTACAGTGTCACCCTTGAGCATAAATTCACCATTTTGATCCGTATAACCCTGATCAAGCAAATCATCTGGACTCGGTCCTAAGATTATAATTTTCATATCATATTCTAGGATTATCACTAAACTAAAGCATACAGTTGAGTTAATGTGTTACCACGATTTTTCTTTGCTTTCGCTTGCCTATCTTACAGGAATTTCAGAAACTGAAGCCACGCACCAGTATCTTTTTCCCAGAGCTTTACACGTTCATTGGAAGCCGGATTCGAGCCGCACAGTAATCGACCACGTATTGCAATTGATTGGGTCCGGAAACTTAACACACCACACAATAACGTCAATAGTACTATCACCGTTTTCATCAAATCTTTAAATATTTTTTTTTTATTCATTCATTCCTATTGCATTACGATGACGTCAGATAATATTTAAAAAGATTCGCAATTCCTGTCATATTAATTCGAATCATCAATTTTTCGATACTTTAAACGCTGTGAACTATTTCTCCACATATTTCTGAAATGTTTTTTGATGGATAAAAGGTATTTGTTTAAAATCTAATTAATCGTTGTTAATTTTTAGAAATTGTGTATCGTCGATCTATTTGTATTTGTATATTCTTCTTTCATAATGAACTAATTCATTAATTGATTTTATTATTTCATTTTGATTTATTCGGTGGTTGAGTGATAATAGCAAATAATCACACTTGAGCTTGACGTATGTGAAGTGAAGTGAAACGGAAAATCATCCCGTGACATTTGCATATCCTTCCCAATCACGCTAAGCAGTCATTCTATCTTAGCACTGTAAATCGAGCGCTGTGATAAGTTTTATGTCACATCCAGTTCTTTCAGATCTACTGGACTATTCCGTTTCTTAGAGAGCTTTGTATCATTATTGTACATTACATTGCAGATTGACTTCTTGGAGCACTTATCTGACCCTCAGATAACACTGCTTGAGTGATTGGATACATGTACACTATCATCGCTACTTCATACAAAACATTAAAGCTTTAAAGTTAAGCATTCTAAAGTTTAAACAGAGTTTAAATAACTCACAGTATGCTTTTTATAAAATCTTTCACATCACATCTCTTCCAGATTATCAAATCACATTCAAATTTTTGCCATAAGTTTTTCTTTGTCGTTGGACTTCTTAAATATCATATGTAAAATATTCCAAAAAAAAGAAGTTAAATTATTATTAAATTACATTCAAACCGCAAAAAAAAGGTCGATGCTGAGTAATGGAAGTAAATGAGCTCAAAGATAAAATGAAGGGGGAGAAGGGCAAAGGGAAAGAGAGAACAGAAGAAAGCAACAAGTATCTCAAAAGTTAAAGTTGGATAAATTGTTCATTAAAAATGTTACTCTACCTTTTCATTACACAGCTCTGTTAACAAATAGCGATGAATGTTATTAATCAAAGATTGTTTCAAGTGACAACAATTCTGCTTCCTTTAGTTTAAAAACAAAAAAAAAAGCTAATTTCTTTAAAAACAAAAAAAAGGGATTTACCCTTCCAAGTTGAATTTCATCGTAAATTTAGAGATGAACACAGAATGATCTCTACCATTTAAATCATTTTATTTGAATTTCTTTAATATTATTATGTGTGAAGTACTTAAATCACCGCTATGACTAATAAGTAAAGTAATGATTTGAATAATAAGTAAGGTTTAACTGAAGATAACCGATCAAATGAATTAATGTCACATTCTTTTCAATCAAAATTCCGCCACTGGAAACTTCAATTTTCACAATGATCTCCCTGCCTCTCCTTTCCTCCACAGACGAAGCGAAGGGTACGACTGGCGGTTAAAGATCGGGGATTGGAGGCTGAAGGTCAGAGGGCGCGCGGTTGGTTCATAGTATTTTACTATTATTATTTTGCACTGTATCTATCTGCATGATGGACACATTTGTCGCTTACTGATATCCAATTAGCGATTCAATTCAGTATGAATTAATTCATTTGATTAGTTACCTTCAGTTAAATCATTACTTTACTTATTATTCATTGACTCACTACTGTTAGTTATTGTTTGTTTCAGACAGATATTATCAAACTATGAAGTGGCAAACCATATAAATTATATAAACCCAATCCCAAGCAGTACATCGAATTGTTGTTTCGGATAATGTAGCACTGTTATAATAGTCAGAATCAGTATTTAGAATATATATATATTTTTCGTTACTTGATTATTTGTTCTGTGCAAAAATATTTGATAGAAAAATTTCGCTGATAGTGAACTCATGAATAGACTGTAACTTCTAAGTTCTTTGCATATAAAATTTCAGTTATCCAACTTTCCGGATGATTCTTTCGCTACCTAGATAAGCAGATTTTTCCTTATCAGTAGTGTTAAGAAAGTTCAATTTCAGAAGCTGAAGAGGAATTCAAACTTTTATTTCGAGTGGTGTTTTAGATTTGTACTATTTGATATCATCAATTGATTGCATTATTGTCGTCTATCTAGGCGGCTAGATATTGATGCGTGCCGTGGGCAATATTATCTCACTTATTTGTGATTTTTTGGTTTCGAAATGAGTTGGGATGAGGCAGTCGGAGATGATGCTCCGTGTAAACGAAAAATTTACTGCCCGCAGTTGATGGTGATGGATATCAGCAGTGAGGCTGCCTACGCTAAATGTAAAAAAAAAATGCAGAAAGCTGAAGCGAAAATGGTTTTTAATGTTAGTGCGATGTCAACATTGCCTGCTGAGAAAGTAAGAGTACTTTTTTTGAGTTCAGACTTGTAAAATGATTTGCACAGAAAAAAAAGTCCTACAAGGAGACTCTCTACTTCTAATCTTTAATTTTGAAACAAATAAATTTGCGATTTGTAAATCAGTTCGGAATGTTCATTTCCGTAATAACCGTCGCGCTCACAGTTATGCAAAAGCTTTTGGTTCTTTTAAAATATTGGTTAAACTATTTATTCTCTCTGTTAAGTTTTTGTTTCGAATTAATAGGATTTAACCAATCGGATTTTGCTGTATAAAAAATGTTGTGCTTTTCAGTTTTGTTGAATAAAAATGTTGTGCTTTTCAGTACCTTTATATCGGATTCAGCTTCTGTGATTCGCTCACTGCAATGTTTGAATGGGAATTTTTTTGTTTTTTCTGATTATTTCCTTACGATATAAACTGTCTTAATAATATCTTTCATCCTAAAGCAGAACTTTGTGTTAAAATGATGCAGCTGAGAAGTATTTGATCAACGGCAATCACGATTTCATTTTGCTAAAAGTCAGTTTTTTAGAACATATTTGCTGCTTCAGTAGTTCACAATTTCCCTCGAAAGGGAGGAAATGTAACTTATGACGACGTTGTTCTGGAATATATTCCACAGCCAGTGCCACCGGATACTATGAGGATACGCTTGTATGTTGCATTTCCTTCGGACAAAAAAGAGTGGTACAAGTAAGTTATTAAGTAGTTGGATTGTTGAAATAGATTTTACAATCTGAGAATTGGGAATTCTTAGAAGTGACATATTAAGGATAATAAAATGGAAGAATTCTGTTTTGAAAGCTACTGTTTTACACAACACAGAAAGGAGCACTTTATCAATTTTTTATCTGTCGACTTACTCTAATTAGCGCTGAAATACTACGGAAATTTGAATAAAATTTCAATAATCATTTTTGCGCTCGAAAAAAAAGCTCTGGAACTCCATCAGTGGAGGGGAGTTTTAGAGTTTTTTTCTGTTCATTGAATGAAAAAGCTAATTTACATTTTTCCCAATTTTGTTTTATAGCCAGGTATGTTTGCAACGTGCTGGATTAATTGGATTATTAGTTCAAACATTCATTACTATTGAGCTGAGCAATTTCAATAATGGCAGCACAGATGATCTGCGTCCTTATATCCCCTTTTTAGATGACTGTTGGACAGAGCAGTTAGCAGGCATGTTGTCAGTTTTTGATTTCATAAGCGGAAAATATTAGAAATTTATAGTTGTGTGAATATTAGAGTCGCACACGCTAGGGCATCCGATTTATAGTAAGCTTCTATTGAGGATTAGTTACATAGATAAATTGGCATGTAGTTGTATTTTGTTTTTGCTTCAGTAATAGTGGAATGCATTTCTTTGAAGTTCTTTTTTGTATTGAAAAAGATGATACAAAATATTCATGGTCTCCTGATCTGATTTCTGAATTATTTAACATTGATTACAACTTATAGAAGTTCCGACAGAAGACCGAACGATGACATCGGGAACATATGTCGCAATATCTGGTAAATTGTTCTTCACTATTTTCTTAATGTAAAAAACTTAGGGAAATCAAGATATTTCAGACTTCATATGCCTCAGTAACACTGACTGCTGTTTTTTTATAGCTAATAACATATATTTCAAGAAGCGAAAAGATCTTTGAACAAACAAAGCTTTCTATGTATTAAGAAAAATTGAATTTTTTCATAAAACATTTTTATTTTCCTCGTATTTGGTTTGATCATCTTCCAAATAATTCATGCCTGCACTAATTGTCCGTGGATGCTAATATTTAGATAGATGTTATATGGAATTATGGAATTATGTAATATCGGGTCGTCTTAAAACAGTCTTTTAATATCGGGTCATTTTAAAACGGTTTAAGCAGTGAAATGCAAATATCCAAGAAAAGCTTTTAGAACAGCTTTTTTTAGAAAACTTCAGTTTGTTGCAGAACCGAAATTCACAGAAATGACACCATCTGTAGCACTTTTACAATTAGATAAAACAGCTGCTGAGTTAGATCATGAACGTCACCTTGCAAAGTATATTCGTGGACGTCTTTCTCTTCTTGGTCAAGTGGATGCCAACAAATTGCTTCATTTAGTTTTCCTCCTTTCCCCGCAAAAGAGTGATGGAACAATAGAAAAGGTTCAACGATTTTTTGCTTATTTTAGGCTGTTTTTGCTATTATTCTAATTGATTCAGATTCAAGCAGATAGTTGTTAAAGCAGATATCATTTTTATATACTCCTTTTTAATAAGAAAACATAGTTTCTGCTGGTGGGATTTGTTGATTCTGTTGTATTGGCAGAAACAATAATGAATTAGATTATTTTAGTACAATAAATTTTTAAAAATAATTAGCTTAGATTGTGATTATTGTTTTTAGGATAAGATCGAGACAATACTTGATTTGAGCGTTATAAAATCCGCTGCCTTTCATTACATGCCTGCAGTCGCATCCAATGTACACCGTTTTTTACGCAATGTGAATCGGGAAAACATTCTGCCGATTACTTATTGTTGGCGTGTGGTGAGTTGGGAAGTAAGTTCTTTACTTTGATTTTAATTGATTAGCTTATATTTAGATACAATTTTAAGCAATGTTTGCTCTTATTACATCTTGAAGAATCACGCAGTTCACTGAAGTTTTTTTTGAAAACTTTTATTGCACATTTAAAGTTACTTTATTCTTTAATTATAAGTTTTTATTCTAAAACTTCGGTTATTTGGTAATAAAATGTAAAGGCATTCAGGATGACACGTATATACTGCAGCATACAAGAGGTGGAGTCGCCGCATGTTATTTGGGCGCTGTTATGCATGAAGTCGGTCATCTATTCAAAATTCCTCATACTAATTCTGGAATCATGTGTAACGGTAATATTAGTATGCTAGTCATTTCTTTGATATCTACATTAATTAGACTATAGCTCTCAAAAGACAAGGGAAAAGAAGACGAGGAAATGAGGGGGAATGACTAATTCTTGTATTTTCAAACTGATTATATTTGTTCAGAGATTTTAATCTTTTTTAGAAAGCATATCTACTTTCAGGAGGTGAAAATATTCAGACATTTTTTTTGCCTGCTAAAAAGTTGAATCTCGGTTTTACGGTAAAAAAATTTCCAATGCTACGAAGAATAAAAGAGAACGTACACACTGTCAGAATTGTAAGTGTTTACTATTACTAAGTGTAGCATTCGAATTTCATATGACACTCGTGTTTGTATTTTCCGATATATGCATGTGTAATCGTGAGTAAGCCGTTTATGTTCATATTTTATCAATGTCAGTTATAAATTGACCGTTTGCAAAAAAAAATTCTTAATTCTTATGTTTATAAAAACTAATCTTTTACGAAAAAATTTTCATAAATTTGTGAAATAAATTGTAATCTTATAATATGATATGGAGGTTCTGTACTATTGCATTTTTAAACACATGTGAGCATGAATGCATTATATTTGTATTAATGCTGTGCATTTAGGTGTTCTTATCAAATGCATGCAGATTTATTTGAATAACTAAGAGAAATATAATGTCCTATAATTGTAATGTATAAATATATATATATCGCTCATGAGCAAAATTATTTCGGCTCTGTCTTTATAGAAAATGCAACGTGAAGTCTTGCTCAGACAAATCATGGACAGTGTGCTCGATTCCACAACAAAATTGCTGATGACTGTCCATCCTTTGATTACACACAAACCACGTAAAAAAATGTGTCAGATTTTATATGATGAGGATACTGGCGTTGTGGAAGTAGAATCGGGAGTACTTTATTTGGTCTACTACACGAATGACGATTTCAAACGTATTTGTTCATTTACGGAACAACATATGAAGAAAAGATTGGTTCTTAAAACAAAGGGATCGCCTATTCGAGCTTTAATTGTTACTAGCGAAGGTAATTTTTTATCAGTTCTTGTGAGAAATACTTCGTGAACTTTCCGACATCCATAGTCACTGCCTGGAAATCATCTGTAGGAAAGAGCGTTTTTCGTCAAATTACCTTTGCGATAAGTGTATGAATTATTAAACGCATACTGTGAAACTTTATTTTTCTGTAAAATAGAAGGATTTCATTGTTCATCAGAAGGTTTAAAGACCATTTTATTTGTGAACCAATTAAAATTACGAGTTGAAAAATTTCCTTTTTCATGCCAAAATTAGTTCTCGTAATCACAATTTTTTACTTTCGTAACTCGCACTCGAGCGCAGAACATTCGTTATTGCTTTTGCATTTTGATCTCATTTCGGCATGATTTAGTCATATTCTTACTCGGTTGTTTTATATCTTATTCAGGTTTTAATTGTTCATTACGTTTCACTTTGTAGTCCGGGTGACACCACTAACTTTATGAATCATCGTAGTGATTAATTAAGGGACAGCGTTGAAATGATGAAAGAATGCCGGAAATCTGTACATTTTTTATGATGGCTTTTTTATGAATATATGTTACCCCACCTTTAATTTTTCCAAAAATCATTTATGATTTTCGTTGGTGTTTGCTGTCATTCATGTTGATTAAATTATGAGCTTTCAGTTTCAGATTTTGATTTCTATATAAAAATGATTGCACATAATTTAAACTTTTTACAATATCAAACAAATTTTCTCCCTCTACAGAAAATTCGAAATTGAGCAAGTTTGTCCATATTTTTCGGTGGCCCGTCAGCTGATGTATCTTCGGCTATAGTGCAAAATGGATGAAATGGTACTATATTATGATTTCTCTCAGATACTGCTGCTAAATCTGTCTCACCTTCCTGAAAAAGAAAATCCTTTCACTGTCGTGTCAATTGACAAAGATTGAAGGTCTGATCTATGTAAGAGATGCAAAAGTCTGGAAAAAAAAATTAAACTTTAAGCCGGAATTACTTGCTATTAGTTGTGATGGATGCAGTACATTATTGTTTTGTATGCTGTTAAATTATTTTGATCACAAACTGAAACATAACCTATGTATAAAGGGTTTTTCATATACAGCATTATCAGACTGTGGCCGATATTCCTCCTGGTTGTTCTCTTTCATCGCCTGAGATTTGCGTGAACATCGCTGCCTAGGTCGATCTGATTCCTATAGAAAAATTGCAATTCGCGTGAGAATTATGCAAAAATACTTTTACTTTGGGAATGATAGCTATTTAGATTACCCGCATGCTACATTCCGAAGATGAATATTGTCGCTCTGTCGGATTGAATATGAGTACATGACTTTCACGTAAAACCATTTTTAACTGCTTGGTATTCGATGAATCGGATGCTATAGTTTCCACAGGATTACATTTATCGGGATTTAACTGGAAGAAAGTTCAGGTTATAATTGAAAAAATGAAATTCGGGTCCTACATTTTTTCAAAAAAACTGATTAAACCACATTCTCAAGGGACCAACTTTGAATTTAAAATACTTTTTTTTAATGATGCTTAACTTCCCAGTTTGTATGGACTATTTAGATTGATATTTTCGAATTTAATGAAGTAATGAGAATGGTTCTCGCGAGTGATTTTCGTGTTAAATTGATAATCCAATCAATATCTTACCAACGGTTTTAGATTTTGATAGGTGATGCTGTCCCTAGAACTGATATTATGCAACGTACTAGCATTCAAATCATGCACATCATCATTCCATGCATTTCGTGATTGGAACGAGTCGTATGAATCATTGAGGTAAACCTTGATAATTTTTAATTTTAGAAATTTACGAAATTGAAAGAAACCGTAAAATTACAAATGGATCAAAGTGAATACCGATAGTGCTCAAATAGTATTAACTATCAGGCACTAATTTTGAATAAGAATTCTCGGTCTGAAAAAAGACTGTTTTCGGAATTCAAAATTATCTTCAAGTTTCATACGTATCGATTTGATTCATATGCAAAGGATCGTTTGTTTAATTCAAAATGATTCAAAATAAACTGAAATGAAACTTTGTTTATTAAATAATTCTTCACCTCACTCTCGTTATTCTGCAAAACGTTTGGTCCACAATACATAGCTCGTTGTATTATCATACCACTCATACCACTGTTATCATCGATATGTGTTGCCTTTGGATCCGATCTTATCACCGAAAGCAATCGCGAAAGTTTTGGCTTCCAGCATTTCCGTCGTTTTTCCACAACATCGTCAGTAAAAAGACGCCTCCGTACAATCCACAAAACAACAGCAAATATCGCGATGCAAAACAAAATGCAAATAATGCCAATCAATGCCCAGAATACTTTCCATTCCAATGAAATTGATGCTCGCTTCATCAAGAATTGGTCGCAACCTTTGCGAGCGCCTTTCTGTCCAACACTTTTGAAAATCTACAACATCTGATGACTAAATATGCAATCAAAAGATTTATTCTCATTCTGTAACAATATAGCATTTCTCAACTCAACAGATAAATGTCTATTGCACGATGTGCCATATCATAGTATCATTATCACTTTGTCTTTATCATTAAAACATTTCATTTTGTATGTAGAACTATTCGTACAAAAGAAAGATGTACCTGTTGTGATAATAGATTTCCTTCTAATACATCAAAATTTTGTGCTTGATTGTTTACAAGAAATCGCCTAAAACAACCGCTAAAAGAAGTTGCATGATCCATTGTATCGTGACCTAAGGACAAAGATAGCAAAGAATTCGAAATCAGAGTTGGTAGCTGTTCTTCAGATCGAATTTCTTTGCCATGTCCATCGATCTGAAATCTTGTAATCGAAGCAAAATTCAAGGAAATACTGATTTAAAAGATGGACTAATTTCGAACAAAATATCCGACAGCTATGATAGAGATTCTAGTGTAAAAATTTCTGATTTTCAGAAAATCTGAAATGTCAATTTAAGTTATACCTAATTACTTTGCATTCCTTGCAAATATTGTAGTGACAAAAACTTGCAACACACGTTGCTTTTCAAAAGAGTTAATCTAAATTACCTCCACCCTAAAAAGTTTCTGATCTTCGCTTATCTGCATGCTGAGACGATGCCATTCAGTATCATCAAGATCACTTGCAATGTATACTTCCATTGGTTGAGCGCCTTTCATCTTCGTTATCATGTGCGCTGATCCGTTAATGAGCTGAACATAAAATTATTTACTAAGCATATGAAATTGAGTCGCAATTTTTCCAAAAAATTTTTAAAATTTCAAAAGATTAATAAACTTAAACCTGCCAAAATTTCAACACCCTATTACAGTTCCACAGTTCTGTCAAAATTTTCACCTCAATTTTGCTAGATCTCGTCTCTTCAGTTATAGCAAATATGACGGTATTTCTGAGGGCAGTCTTGAAGTCAAGTTCCATCCACTGTGCGGGAATATCATCCAACATGTCGTCGTCCTCTCTTAAAAAATTATCAATTTTATAATATTAATTTTAATGAAAAACACTGCAGATCAGTTAAAAAATAGCTTACAATGAATCTCTCGGTTATTCACTCATATTCAAAATCAATATCGGAAATCAATAATAGCAATTTTTTTCGATTAGTTTTTGTTCCAAAATTTTGAAATTTTCATCTTGCCGTTTATAGTGTTGCAACTCTTTCGATACTCAAAGAAAATATTGTATACAAGCTAACATTTCTGATTCCTCACACGGAATCTCACGCAACTGTCCCATCTCATCATCAATGACATTGTGTGTAAGCTTTTGTGATGGTATTTGCGTAGAAGTGTTGTGCTTTGAAAGCTTAATTTTCTCCATCATATACATGGATAATTGGAAAACGATTCCACCGTTTTTAACATGCCACGGCTCCATTGCTAAAAATTTTCCGGATTTTAATTTAATGATGAAATGCGACATTTTGAAGGAAATGCCTTGATTATGATAATATTATCTAACAACTAACCCTTACGACAATTTAACGCATCGAAACCATCTGTACAAATGCATTTCCTATCATTCTCATCAATGACGCAAACGCCACCCGAACATATATCATCGACATCACTATCATCTGCGCATGTTTTCCAGTTATCTTTATCAATCAGATTTTGTTCCAAGAAGCCAGGAACTTTGTCAATTTCATGCTCGTTAATTATGATTTGACGCATGCAACCTTCAAAATTGACAATACCGCTCTGAAATACATACATCTTCTAAAAGTGAATATTTGAAGTGCTAATTTGAGATATTTCATATATTAGTTTAGGAGGTTCTCTAAGAACTGCGCTACAGATCTCTTGTTAAAAATTCTGAAACCACCAACAACATTTGTTTTGATTTCTCTCATAAATCAGCAGTATTCTTTATAAAATTTACAGGTGCTCTAATTACTAACGAATTTTTAGCTCTTTAATTGCACTGAAAAATTAACCTCTTTAGTAATGATATCGGAAGTAATAGAATTTTTCATTCCTCCAATATATACAACTTGTCTTCCAGCAATCGCCGAAATACTGAAATTCGTTTATTATATAAAATGTCATTCCGATCGGAAATATTTAATGACTATAGTTCTAATGGCCAAATTTTCAACTCAATTTTCACCTTTGAAAAGGTGAAAATTGAGTTTTTAGGAAAAATTAGTCGAAAAGAAAAACCCTTTAAAAATTAGTTGGAAAGAAAAACTTTCGAGAGTTTGTAAATAGCAAAATAAAATTCATCATCAATAAAATAACAACAAATAAGATAGTGGATTTCAAAAAAATTGTTAAAAAATAATATTTAATACAGACTCAAAATTATTCGCTGTAGCAATACAATTAGTGCTTTTGCATGGCTCACAGAAACCATTGTCGTCACAGTGCTCAATTGTCAACTTTACACGTCGATGCTTATTGTATCGGAAACGAATCATTTTCCATTTCCCATCATTCACTTTCTCTTGCATCAATAATTCATTTTTCTTGTTGCGATATGAATTCACACTCAGATGTACTTGGCCATTTTGCAATGCCAGTATGAAATGAGGCCTGTTGGATCCGTTAATTGGAAATGAGCTCAGCAATACGCCAGACTGAAATGTAAGTAAAATGTAAAAGGGATGCAGGCTCGGAGAGATGCTTTGTGGTGTTTTGTATCATTTTGTAGGATGACGCTGTGATGGGAAACTTTCAATTATGGAAGTGGAAATTCACCGGATTCAAAATCCTAAATCCTTGTGTTAACATAGAAATTTGTTGATAAAATGGGAATTGCAGTGATGATGAGAAGCCGTCAAAACATCGAATTTTTAGCTGACAATAACGCCCACTGTAACCATCAGCACATTCGCACAAATGCTGTCCATTATTCTGTTCAATACATGTTCCTCTGAAAAAGAATATTTTACATAATTACAGATAAAATGATCCACAGAAGACTAAAGATGTGATATTGGAATTAAAACTCATTCTGTAAGAGTTGATTTGTGCCACACAAAAAAATGGCTCAAATCTCCAAATATAGTTTTTTGATACCGCAATTCTTCGTGAAAGTTTATTTAAATTAATCGAAAATCTAATTTTTTATATGAAATATCCGGTAAGTAATAATCTAGATCACTCTTCTTTGATTCATTATTCGAATAATGGTTTTGAAACAAATAGAATTAGAATATAACATTAATATTTTCTTACTGATTTTGAAAAATTTTAAAATAATGACAAACCTGTGACAATTATCACAAATGCTGCTATCGGAATTATTACAGTGTACCGAATTCTTTGCATCATTATCACCACATGCACAAACAAATGAACCAAATACATTTAAACATTTTCCATTCCCACAAATATTCTGCAATTAAATCTTACTAAATTTTCTGAAAACATGAGGAAGAATTCAAAGAATGCACTACACATAGCTACCAGAAAATTAATTTTTAAGCTTATTTTTAAACATATGATATTTGTGGAAGTTTGCTAATAATTTTTTAGCACTTGAAGTAATGATTAAGATGCCTAAATATTTCTATTCTTCTTTGATTCATTATTAGAATGGTTTTAAAGCAAATAGAATTGGAATATAAAATTGAGATCAAACTTCTTTTGCAAATTTTACAGTTTCATTTATTTTTCAAAATGAAAAAGTGAATCAGAAAATAAGTAAACAAAAGATTACTTTTTTCTCACATTCATCGATATCATTCTCGCAGAATTTGCCACTATAACCTACAGGACACAGACATGTTCCCATATGCGGTTGGCAGGTACCACCATTTTGGCACTTTTCATTTTCGTCGCAAGCTTGGTTCTCATCATCAATACATGGCACATCATTCTCACACAAGCAACTGTCATGTAAAATTGGGATGATACTTTGATGGACAATGAAATAAGCTAAAGATTCTAACTGGTGAAGATAGCAACAAATATCAGAAATGCTAGCTGTCATATCATCTATCTTTTAAAATTGGCCATCTTACAAACTTTAGAAAATTTTTTTTCTGAATCATTCAATATGGTTCCATTTATCCTTAGAATTTTTTCCCCGGCGATCAGATTGACCTTCTAAAAATTCGATTATAATTCTACGAAATAGAAAAACTGTTGATGAACTTATTGGAAAAAAACTAACTTTACACGGCTAATAACAAGTGGAACAATAAAACTTGTCCTATATCCAATCAATTCCAATAGTTCTCCATTCTTTGTGATATTTTGGGAACATTTAGTACCATACATACATTGTTGAGAAGTGAGACTACACATATCCGTTGCAAGCTGTTTCACATTCACATTTTTAGAAATTAATTTTTCAGCGAAAAATTGTTCCAACAATTTCAACGCACTATCTTTATTTGTTGGTACCAAGTGCTGGTCCAAAACTGTGACAAAAACACGAAAAAAATCAAGTTCTAAATGTTGCAGACCCAGAAATTGAAGAACCTATAAAGAGCGGGATAATCAACATCTTGTATTTCATATTACCTTTTAGATCTTTAAGCCATCATGTTAATAAAGCAAAAAATAAAGGCGGCATTTAGTTTTAGGAATAGAACTTAATGGAATTATGAGAAAAGTAAAATAAAATACTTCAACGGTTTGCAACTAATATCGTATTGATATATATCATTATTGATACAAAGAAGATTGTAGATTACAAAAATATGCAAAATGTTTTCCAAAATATTTAAAATCATTTTTGCATCACATAATCCAAGTAATCCTACCATATCCGGGAATGCCTCTCTGAAGGCAGAAATACTATCAGCTATGCTTCCTTCAGTACCCCACAACTCCATGATCACACCAAAATCGTCGATTAACAATGCTGAAGAAGTATCTCGCCGCACTCGTAAATTTATTGGAAATGTTATATTTGAATGACGACGATGGGAGGCTTCTACCAATAATGGAGCATCCAAAAAGTCATCTTCTTCGAGTAAACTTCTTGACAGTTCTAGCATGCAATTAGTTGATATCTGCAAACACTCATTATCAGATATTATCAGCATAATGTATTTCTAAAAATTATAGATTTTTGCTTACTAAAAATATTTGCTAGAACATACATTATATGATTGCGAAGCGCTGGATAGTCGACAATTATGCACGCTAATTTGATCAGCATCAATTGGAAATGTATGGAAGATTATCATGTTCGGAATTTCGTTCAAATATCCTAAATGTATCGTACGTGGTCCTGGTTCTGGTTCATTATCATCTTGATCATCAACGTAAATCCGTAAATGAATAGTTGCATGACGTTGATGAATATCCAAATCGCTAACCGTTATTGGTACAATATACAGCGAACGCTTTTCACGATCCAAAATCTCACAGCTGGACAGTATGCCTGTGGTATCATTGATGGCAAATATCTGTAAACAAATCTTTTAAATTGCGATATAAATTGAGAAAAAATTCTTGAATGAGTTAAAATTATTATCTTATTGCAACATTAATTTAGAGCAGCTTCCTCACTTTCCTTCAGAAATAGTTACAATCACAAGTTTTAGTAGCATAAAAATGATCTTTAATTTAAAAGCTACAGAGCTGAGGTATCCTCGTTAATTGTAATTGATATATCATATTTCATGATGGATACTTTTCTACATTATTATTCTTTCGAACCTCTTCTTTTTTAGGCCAAAAAAGCAACAATGTCTCGATAGACTTGTCGGGAAAGACTGAAAATCTTAAACGATCATTCTTCAAAATGTTAATAAAGATGCTGTATTAATTAATTACCTCAGACAGGTCACTATCAGCAATTTGATACTTAAACGATGCTTGTTTTCCCGAAATGTCGTTAGCCATTATGTGTAGTTTCATTATCGTTGTATGTATTGGTGAATTTTCCAAGATATAACCAACGGAAGCCTTAGGATCCAGTGATAGTCCCTTACCATTCATATTATTTACTGTTATCGTAATCAACGCTCGGGAACGTATGATATTGTTCTCAACAAGAGCAATTTGCAAGTGATAATCAATTTTTTGTTTATAGTCCACCGGACCACACAAATAGAGCTTACCGGAACCATCGAAGCAGAAAGGCTGCAAAAAGTTTTTTGTCATATTTATTATCAGTTTTCGAATAAATTTCAACAAAATCTATTTCCATCATGTCATCAATTTTTTCAAACAACTTCTAAAAAACCCAATCAATAATCTCTACCTCTAAGCAGTCCAATTTTATTCCAAATTTAAATCTTTAATTTTGAAATCCTTCGCAGATAAAACATTAATGAAATACAAACGAAACGAAAATTTTTACCTGTTCAGTATCATATCCAATTCCTTCTTCAACAAAATCAAGACGACATTTCCGTGGAAGACTCTCCAAAATAATGAAACTTTTTGAGCTATCAGCATCTTCGGATAATGAAAATTTATAATGGGATTGTAATATTGGAAGTGCTTCCACATTTATCCGCTCGATATACACTTTAAAACTACAATAAATTAATTGCAGAAAATTCTCATTTCAATTCGACACTTAAAAACTGAAACGAAATTCAAACAATTTATGAGTAAGATTTAGTTCGCGTTATTTTCCTGAAAATTTCCAGCAACTGACATATTTGGTTTAAAATCTGCTTTCCGCGAAAGTTGATCAGTTGCAGCAATCAGCACCATCACAGTCCCAGTAGTTCCGTTCCAAGTTTCCTTCACATATAATTCCCCTGTGCGATGGTTTATGCCCACCAGATCATTTGAAGCTATACGATATAAAATTTCATTGCAATAATTTCCACTCAGACAAACTGCTTCCACTCTGCCAATTATGGTACCTAAATAGGATTTGTTAATCAGTTATTCCCCTAATTTGATTACGATGCAAAATAAGTTAAAATTTCATTTCCTGCTACAATGAGAAGAATCGATAATATGATGATTAGGTTGGAAATAATTTTTTCATCGACCAGTCACAATTTTAGTTGTTTGAACTTTTAACTTGAAATACCTTTAAGAGCAGATGCGCTGATCTCAAAATTCCGTTCAGTTTCTGGAAAATATAGCTCAGATTTGCCATCTGGCTTCACGAAAATTTCAACTTGCACGACATCAGAATATGTCCGATTTCGTGAATTCCCTGGAGTCACTCCTGAATATTCCGAATTTACCATTTCAGGATTACTGGCCAGCACGCGAAATAAATATTTATTAGCTGTTTCATAATGAAATTCAGCGGATACGTATAATGTGCCAAATGTAGCATTTATAGCAAAAGGTAATTCTCCAGCAGAATCCGAAAGCAGATGGTAAACGATACGAGCGTTTGGCTCTGAATCCACGTCAACAGCAGAAAGGTGAGCAATTGTGGTACCTATCGGTGAATTTGTCGATATCTGAAATGATCGCTGATCATAAATCATTCGAATAACCAAGCGGAATATGCTGTGAAGACAATTCAAGATCTGCTAAAAAAATTCAACGCTGAAAAAATGCTTCAACATGAAACAAAGCGGGAATTCAGAAAATATAGAAATACCGTATATTGTAAATAACGATTTTCAAACTCGGGCACATTATCGTTCTCATCGAGTACTTCAATAATAACTTCTGCGGTATCGTTGAGTGCGGAGAAACCGGAATCTGTTGCTGCTATTAAAAAATGATAGCTACTGATTTCTTCGAAGTCCACTTGTCCCGCTGTTAGTATGATTCCTAAAATCCTCATTGACATGAAATTATTTATAATTAAGTCATTAATTCTGACATATTCTCCAGACAAACAACAAATAAGTTGACGCTGTGTAAATCAGAAACAATTCGCATGCTATTTTATGCATTACTTTGTGTTATTACAAACATTAATTAGAACATCAATTCAAAATGTTAAAAGTAAGAAAACTGGAAATGAAACCTGTTGCTGATTCAACTGTAAATGGTAAACGGTCTGTACCATGAATGATATGATAAGTCACATGACCATTAAGACCAACATCAGAATCTTTCGCTATAACCGTTCCAACTGATGTATGCAGACGACAATTTTCTCGAACCGAAAATTTATACCTGAAATAAATTTAATCATTTAGACTCCCTTTATCAAATGCTATGATTTCAATATTTAATAGTAGAAAAAAAAACCAAATTTCATTGATGTGTCTTCTGATTGTAGCAAATCGTGAAGCCGATACATATATTTTATAAAAAAAATATTATTGACGTATAATTAGTTGAAAACAGACCATAGATTAATTTATATAACTTTAGTATACCATTCATTAATCATCGGGAAAAAAGCAACAAAGTTCAACAAAGTTTCAGAATGAGAAAATTTAATTGTTAAAAATTTTGCATGGGACAAAAGTTGTATGGATAACTTTCAACTTTTCTCATAATTACCTTCTTAATGAAAATTGTGGAGGGTAAATATTTGGCTCAGTAAATTGAATTAAAACGGTAATCTTCATGGGATCATTTTCATTATTTGTTGCAACTGAGAAGATAATTTTATCTCCCAATATAGCATCCGAAAACGTAGCATTTGTGAACAGATTACCATTCTTATCAATCGTGAAACGGCTATCATTCACTACGGCTATTGCCTTAAAATTTAAGAGTAAATTAAATGACAATGAAATGTCGAATTAAATAAATTAACGGAGAGTTTAAGGCAAAATTGGGTGTTAAAACTTTTGTTAGATGTGGAAAATTTGACGAGTCAACTAACACCATGCAACAGCAAATGACCAATTGCTGTGCCGGAGTCAACATCAGGAAGAAGTGCAAACTCGTAGTAAGACTGCTTTGTTTCGTTGCTTTCAGCAGAATCGGTGATGTGAATATAAACAGGGACCTGAAATAATCCCTTTTTAGTTAATAGTTCCATCATTTCCAATATCAAACATGACTCACATCACTGATCATTGGTGGAAATCCTTGATCTCTGGCAAAGCCTTTACATTCCACGGTATTATTCACATACTGCTCCAAGTCAATTATTGAAAAAATACGCCCACTGGATGGTTCAACCATAAACAAATCATTGCTACATCGCAAATCATAGCCAACTTGTCCATTTAATCCTTCATCCGCATCAAATGCAAAAATTTGTCCAATTTCAGTAAAAATTTTCTGTAAACTTTTGAAATGATATTTTTTTTTAATTACTAAAAATCTTCAAAGACATAACATCCTTAAAATCAACCACTATATTTTTAACTTCATTATCATAGTTTAAATAGAAGATTTTATCATAGAGAATTAGTGTAAGAAAAAATTCTAAATTTTGTACATCTTACCGAATTGGCTGTAACCAAAAATTTATAAAATGAATGGCTGAACGTGGGAGCATTATCGTTAACGTCTTGTATTGTAATTGTTAGCGATGTTCGTACTTCCCATAAACTATCCCACGCTTTCACTTTTATCGAATATTCCTTTCTCTATAAAATATTTCCGGATTATTTCAATATTCCATAATAGAAAAGCAATCGTTGTCTTTATAATAATGAGCATTTTTTCCTTTTGTTCAGGCAGCGCCTTACTTGACAGATAGTTCTATCCGTGTTGCATTTCATAATTACTAGGCTTTTTTCTACAAGCTATTTTAACCAAATAAAGGAAGAATATTTTATTTTGTACTTTTTCTCGATCAACTTCTTTTGCCAAACTAATCCAACCAGTTTGTTGATCAATCAAGAAGCTATCAGTATCGTTGCCTTCTAAACCATAGATAAGAGTACTGTTCACATCAGCATCATAACTTGTCACCTGGATAATAGATTTTTGGTGACAATCTGAGTAATATGATTGAGAATCACAGTAAATATGAATAAATGGTCTCACTTGAAGTATTAGCGTCCCCAAAGGACTGTTTTCTGCAATTGTACCATGGAATAAATTTGAAAAACGCGGCGCGTTGTCGTTCTTATCCAATATTTCAATCTAATGGTGGAAATTAACAGTAATTAATGTCATATATTTATTCACTCATTCAGAACTTATTTATATTTTATTTCTATAATTACCACCAACAGTATGATAGCATAAGAATCTTGTGATTTATGCAAAAAAACGGCATAGGTCATAATTCAACCGAATGAATCACTTTGACCTGATTTTGAAAAATCTAATCAATTTAATGAAGAGAAAAACGGCTTCTATGAGATGGATTTGGGATTAAAAATCGTTATCAGGGATCGTCAATCGGACGATTAACCGATCATTATATTACTTAGTTGACCATTTATTCATTCAGTCCGTAAATTCATGATTCATAATTTATAAAAATAAGTAAAACCTTCACAACCACAATCTCTGACAACTGTGGATTGCCATGGTCCTTTGCAATAATATGCAAACGATATTCCTTCAAATGTTCGGCATCCAAACCAGAAATAGTAAAAATTTCTCCCGACTCCTCATTAATTTTAAAATATTTCCATCCATCTGAATCATCTGCTATCAAACTATACGAAATTTTCCCATTTATTCCAGAATCAGAATCTCTGGCGGTAATTTTTACTACCAATTCATCGCTATTACCATTTTCTGCCACTGAAGCAGAGTAGAAAGCCTGCAAATAACTTATTTTTTCAAACTTTTTAAATTTGAAAATGAATAAAATGTACAAAATATGATTTTGAACTGAGCCTTAGATTCTTGCATGATTCGTATCTTCGATCCTTCAACATATTCATAGCAAACAAAGCTTTTGTTCCCCAGACTTCTGTTAAAAATCAATAACTGAAACCTTTTCGAAGAAAGGCTTATTGTCATTGATGTCAACAACATTCACAATACAGCTTGTATAGGAAATCATTGGTTGAGTATGCTGATCGATTGCAGCAATCCATAATTCGTACCGCTTTCGATATTCAAAATCTACTCGACTTCTTAAATTTCAATTAAATACATTCTTGAAAAAAATAAATTTTCTCACTTTGATAAACGGTTGTATCAGTTTGTAAATATGGCATTTAATATGGACTAGCAAAATTTTGACGACAATAATTACAATTTGTTATCCTGGACAAGCGTTATCTCTCAAGTAAATATGTAAACAAATGGATGGTAAATTATTTTCTCCAACTTTTTGATGGCAAAAAACGTAAGCTCATTTAATGCAATTAATAAACCTAAAGGCATACGTTGTATATAATTCTCCAGAATTAGGATTTAAATAAAAATGGTGGTGCGGATCACCGCTGAAAATCGAATATAATATCCCTCGATTAGATACATTAGCCGAATGGGCGATAAATTTTGTTACCAGCATGTCTGGTTCATGCTCTGTTACCAGAAATTCTCGCTGTGAGTGTTTCTGGAAATGTGCGGAGATTGATTGAAAGCACTGAAGCTGAGTTTCGAATAATAAAATTTATATAAACTGCAACAACAAGCAATAAAATATATCTTTAAAGAAAATAAGACCTTTAGAGCTCAGATACTAAAATATCACTGACTGAACTTTGATGATCTAATGAATTATCTAGGAATTATTATAAATTCCGGAAAACTACTGGAATAAGTATGCAGAAATAGCGAAATGAAACCAGTGAAAACGAAAGTACACAAAAAGATTTATAGTATATAATTGGATTCAAGTTTTTGTGAACAGTTTGTAAACTTTACAGGCTACCTCAAAAATAGGAAATCTGATAGCATCGGTCACGTAAAATGCCAATCCAACGGATGAATTTAGGTTGCCATGATCAGAAACAACTGCAATAACTGAATAATCGCGTTTGAGAAGCTGTCGCGTAGCAGTGATAACACCACTCCCATTAATTTGAAAGTATGACACATCTGTGCCAGTTAGATTGTAGTGCAGCATATCATTTTCATCCGGATCGTATGCTGACAGTACGTACAGTACATCATCTGAAATAATGAAGTAATTCATCTCATGGAGCATGGATGAAGAATAATATTCTTGTGTAAATTTGCAAATTCTCTATTAAATTTATAACTTTAACAATAAATTTTCAGAGATTCGATAATAGCAGTGTTCTTTTTATTCCTCCCTTTTTCTTTTTTCCACTTATTCTTATCCGAATAGAACATTCAATAAATTCTTTCGAAATTTTCTGTTCTATTCTGCAATTCTATAATAATTTACTCGATTCAGCTGACTGGTAGTTGATTCAAGTGGAATTTTACATCGATTTGTCATTTCCTTGCTAAATTCATTTGAAAATCGTAATATTTCTTATATTAATTATTTATTGTAAATTATTAAAAACTCTTTTAATCACCTCGATCATGAAAATTAGAAATGAATGGTCTGTATGACACAAAGTTTTTCGTCGTTTAATTTCTCAAACTCAGGTCAAACAAAATACCTCAGAACCAGGAAGTTCTTAATTCCAAAAGAAGCAAATCATGTTAACACTGTTCAGTAAATTAAATTTCTGTAGATAAGCTTCTCTTTTTTCTGCATCTGTTAAACCATATTATACCTTCTTTAACATTATTTGGAACGAAGACATCAAGTTGTTCATTCAGGATGATAGGTACATTATCATTCTGATCCAGCACTCGAATTCGCACTACTGCAGTACTTGAATGTTCCACAAATTTACCACTGTCATGAGCTATTACTTCTAAAATCCACTGCGACTGAGATTCACGATCCAGCACTTCCAATCTTTCAATACATCCTGTTGTTGAATTAATGAAGAATGGTAGCAAATCTTCATTGTAAAGTTTGTACCTGTAATTCTGAGAAAATCTAAATCGAATTTACATCTTCTGGTTGCGTCAATTTATTGAATGAACTTTAGAAAAGAAAATTAAACTTAATTTGGTATTGTAAAAAAAAGTGAATTAAATTTAGTTGTAAAGTCAAATTGAGTGATAGGAGAATAAATCTGATTACATATATTTTAGAAAAATAATTTGGTGATAAGTGGTATGATAATATGACGATAATCCCAAAAATGTAATTTGAAATATAATTAGATTAAAATAGTACAAGGTGTGGTGCTTTAAAAGTATTACATTACTTAAAATGCTTATATTCTATTAGCTTCGAAGTTTCCAAAAATCCTCACCTTATCATCGAGAATTCTCGGTCATCTTCATCTGTTGCTTTCAGACATATCAATGCTAAATTCTCTTTAACAGGCACATTTTCCATCACTTCAATATAATACTGAGGTTGTTCGAAGACTGGTGCATTATCATTCACATTTAATACTACCACAGTTACAGTACTTGTTGTCCTGAAGCGTCTCGGAACAGTAAGATCATCTGCTTGCACAACCAATTCATACCGGTCCTGTATTTCGTAATTCAACGGTTCTGTGATTTGTAGTTTGCTTGTTTGTGGTACTATCCGAAACAGCGTGTTGTTACCCTTAAAAGAAATTACATATTTTTGTTCAATCAATGGAAAATAAAAAAATACCTAACAGAGTTGAATGGTATATTTCGAAACCTGCATTTGTTTCCCTTTAAATTATCCTTTTCTCGTCTTTAGTGACAATTTTGCAACTTTCATTCATTCTTACCAATTTACTCCTATAATCCATTCTATTTCAACAATAATGAGGAACGAAGAATGCTAAAAAGGTAACCTGAATTAGTGAGTAAGATAGTGATTCATTCCATCCTGAATCTGCACTGGTAGATCTCAGTGTTCCTATAGTAATCGGATATGATCCTTGCATATTTTCACCAACATATAATATTCTGTCAACATGACCGGGAAATCGAATAGTTTTAACATCGATATTCAAAATTTCAATTAAAATGATGCTGAAATGAGTTTACGTTTAAAACCAATTCCTTAATTTTGAAGATTTTTTTTACTGAAAGTAGGATATGTGATAATATTAATTAATAGCTGATCCATTTCTTTTTAGTTTGACGTAACAGACTTTTTTTCTAAGCCATAAAAAGACTTGCAGAATTTATTACTGACTGTCATTTATCAATTGTATTTGGTCGATTGACCTTTTAGTTAAAAGTTCAGCTGTATCTATTATCACGATCATCAGCTTAATGAAAGTAATTTTCAGTAATCTTCAAAAAATACTTTAATAATTATCCGGGTTGCCCTAATGGTTAGCCTATTTTGATAAAAGTCGCAAGAGTCTGGTTAAACAATCATGATATTAACTTGAATTAATTAAATAACATTAACAAAAAAAAAACTGATGTTTCAAAAGATTTCTCCACACCTGTTTTGCTTCTTAGTGTTATCGCCTGATCGCATTGAAACAGTTAAGTTGTAAATTGATTTCTTCGCGGCATTTAAGCGTTCGTTTGTCGTAATTATTCCATTTATAGGAGATATTCGAAAATGATTATCTTCATTTCCGGATTCAATTTCAAACAAAACATTTCTCGTAGTGTTCTTAAACAAAGGATACTTACTCTGGAAAATAACTGTACTCGTGAATGGTGGAAAAAAATGAAGGTTTGATTTTAAAATTTTCTGTTTAAAACAGACAAATATTTTTTTCAAGTTTTCTTGAATTTTCATTCATCTTCCATAGTTATTCGAGAGATTTCAACGGTACATTGAAACTAATGGAATATTACATCTTTCAAAAAAAAGTTTAAAAATAGCCCGAATTTTATCCAAATTGCATGAACATACAGTAATAATCTGAGATACAATATGGCCAACAGGAACATTTCCCGGAATCTTTGCATGGTAAAAATTTCTCGGTCTCAGTGATTCCTTATTACGAGCTAATACTGTCACAGTTATTGAAACAATCGTCGATAATCTCCTTGAAATACCGTAATCCTTTGCCTCAACTAACAAATGATAATCTTTTCGTTCTTCAACATCAATTTGTTCGCGCACCTGAGAAAAATTGACTATTGGTTTATTGAAAATTTAAAGCTTTTGAGATTTATCATTTTAATCATCGTTATCACATTGATAATTGACGCTACTTTACCCCACTACTTATTTGTTCTAATTTTAACTTTTCTGGATAAATTTAATGAAGAGGCGACATTTATTTTAGAAGTTCAGTTGAATTAGTCTACTTTCTTGAACTTCCTAATGAATTCATTTACAGTTATGACTTTGGTGAGCTATTAAAATATTATGACCGGCAAAAATTTACGTCAAATAAATGGTAAATAATTTATACTACCAGTAAATATCCAACGACCGGATTTATCATAAATAGGCCTTCTGGATTTGACCATGGTAAAATGCGGTATTGCAATTGTCCATTATGAGCCAGGTCAGGATCGACAGCATGAATCAAGCCGACGATGGTACCCGATGTTGTTCCGCCGAAAATGAAAAACACAGATGGTGAAACGAACCGCGGCGCATTATCGTTTACGTCCAAAACTATTACTTTTACTGTAGTTGTTGCCTTGAATGCTAAAATAAAAAATTATATTCAGTAATTGTCTCGAAATAACTAAAATTTAACTATTTGGATAGTTAGAGAATTTAAAATTGAAATTTTAATCAATCAAAAACATTAGTAGTCGCAGTTTAACAGTTTGTCTTTAATGTTTCCTCATGTTATTACAGTTTTAATTATCTAATATAATTGAAAGTTAAATTTTTATTAGAATCAGTCGGCGTAAAACTAATTACCTCTTTCCGGCGGTCTTTGATCATGAACAGTAACGTGTAGCTGATGAACTGCTATGTGTTCTCGATCAAGAGGTGCTGTGAGGAAAATTCGTCCATCAGGTTTAATTCCGAACCAATTTTGCTCATTACCAATTACAGAAATTTCGTAAACGAATTCGTTTACTAAAGAATTTGACGGGATTAAATAATGAAATTATGGTTGCCAATGGAGCAATATAAGAAAGATAAATTAAGCGATAAATTTTAAGTATCCCTTAAAAAAGCCAGTTATTTCTTGGTGCTGTTCTGAGAAACTAACCAGTGTCCAAATCATCAACATCAAGTTGAAGAATAAATTGACCGATCGGAGCATCTTCATAAACTTCGACTTCATAGCTATTAGAGGCAAATTTAGGTGCGTTATCATTCTTATCGACAATATGCAGGAAAGTATAACATTCCATTGATATACCTGCTATTCCATGTGCGATCGCCTTGAACTGATAAAGATTTTCCTGAAAATTGCTTTTGGATTTAAAAACTTGATTTATTTCCAAGCATAAAATCAACTATAAATAACATACTTTTTCAAAATCAAATGGTGCAGTAGTAGTGATAATTCCATTATCACTGTCTATCGATACAGCTTCCGGATGTCCTTGAAGTGTATAGCGAGTAAGATTGTTATGTCCTGTCGTTAGAATGCCAACAAATGTTCCGGATGGCAAATTTTCAAGCACCGTTAAATCAATATGATTTCGCAAACAGAACTGTTCACTGTTGTGTGCTTGAACGACGATAATGAGTACAGTGACTGATTTGGATATTTCGTTGTAATCTCGATTTGTAATCCTAATATCCAGATATGTTTCAGATATCTATAATTGCTATTAGAATTAAAATATTTCTTTTATTCAACAGATTGAATTGTTTTGATTCATTTAACATTTAACAGATTCATTTAACTTTCATTTAACAAATTGAATTGAATTGAATTGTTGAGTTTTTGTGATTATCAACGTAAGCACACACCTGTACTTCATTTTTTATCCTAATTATTCCATTTTCCTCGTCAATTTCAAAATTGTCATTTTCTTTGAGCAATTCAAATTTGAATGTTTCGTCATTGCCAAGTCTTCCTACAATAAATCCCACTGGCATTCCTTCCTTTATCGTAAATTCATAATATGAATGAAACTTGTCAATGCTTCTTTCTCCGCCAATTACTAGCAATTCTATCTGAAATGTTGTTTGACATGAGCTTTGAAGAATTTTCATTGATTACAAATTATTGTTCTAAAATCTTTAAATACTTGGAGATATAATTTGAAATTCAAATTTTATTCAATTCACAACATCAAATATTTGAAATTTATTACATTTTGGATGTTTGAATTTTTTCCAAAGTTGAAAATACTGAAAATGAAGCGTGCTTCTCTCAAATGTGCCTTATTGACCTTGATTTAATTTCGAATAAAAAATTCATCATTGCCGTGGCCATAATTTGCGTTCTAAATACCATTTCCTCAAACCTTCCCCTACCGTATCCATACATCCGTTGACATTTCTATGACAACAAAATTATGAGTGTTCCAGACAAAATCATTTTCATACGAATAAATTGCTTTTTTGAATAAAATTATGGTTGAATTGAGGATTGTTCTGCTCGTTTAAAGCAAATTCTAAAGAACAAACCAATCTTCACAAAGCATATATATTCCAAGATTTTATGACTCCGTTATTGATGGATAGACGATTTAAGTCTCACCTTCTCTATAATAAATAAAAATGCGCCCATATAGTATAATATGTTTTAATCAATCATTTTTCCAGACAAATTAATTTCCAATTTAAGCGCATATATAGGGACAGGTTAGTTTGAATATGCAAACGGATGCTATAACTTTAATTACATTTTTTGCCATTTGAAAAAAAGGGAAGGAAGGGTAAGGTGAGCAATGTCAGCTTTTTCTTACACATATTTGATGATTTATTGTCCTTAAAATCTTTATATTTGAGCAATTTAACAAATTTAATTGGAACATTTGTTGAATGCAATTTTCGATCAGATTAAAAACAACAATAAGTGTCGGCAATTGTTTGTAATGAAAACTAGCCGTAATTATTCGCGGTTTGGTTCACTTACGCCTCATTAGTCGAATGGATAATTTCATTTTAAATCATTCTTTCTTCTGTAATAGCACCAAAGATGACAATGAAGGCTGCTCAATGTGTTTTTAGGCATTTCTTTGAATTTTTTATAGCTTTGTTACGAAGACAAGGAATGAAGAGATGAGTGTTCAATTCAGCAACTAAATCTATTAATTTTTAGTTCCTTTTTTCTAAATTTTACCGACTTACAAATTTAAGATAAATATTTAAAGGGTAATGGGACATTAATAGTACTATTTCAAAAGAATAAAAGAAAAAGAATTGCTTTTTGTGGTAAATTTTATCTTCTAAAAGAGGTCATTAATCAAAAATTGATAGTGGTTTTTTCTCGATAAATATCGATTTCTTAATTTAAAAATGGACACGTTGGTTTTTTTCCATTCAAAGGATTTATTAAATAGAGCAAATGAATTGTTACAGTGTGAGTTGATTATATTTTCCCTGAAAAAGAATGTAATTCTATTTTTCGATAAATAATAAATTTCTCGCGCTGACCTCTTGCCTTGCTCTCAGCAATATAATTGCCCTCCTCATTCTTCCCTTTACCAAACCTAAACAACTCCTAATTTGGTATGACAGTCGTTTGCTATTATTTTCATACATCTAAATTCCTGAACGATGACAAATGTAATTATGGAAAGCAAACAAATATGTGGACAGAGGCCATGATGAAGTTTAAAGGTCAGATAAGGAAATACCACTGTTCGTGTTACCTTAAATAGTTGCATAGATGATTGGAGTGATCATGAATATTAATTTGATTGCCAACATAAAATGAAATGATAAGCAGAAAAAGAGAAATATACTTTGATAATACGACGTTTTTGCATTTTCATTGCTTCTGAGTGAAAAAACGAAAAATTTTTTTCTTGCATTAATTAAAATATCAATCAAAATTTCTTTGAAGCTTGACTTTAATGGTCTCAAACGAGCTTCAAAAAAATCCTCAATGATCGATCAGTAAACAATAGAATAATGCAGAATATCAGAAAAGAGATTGGAGTATATTTTCAATCCTTCAATTACTTTAATTACACTTACCAGTAAATTATTTCTTCATAACACTTCCATAATTGATACAATTAAATATTCTTTTATAAACTGAACTGCTTTTGATTATTAATAAAATTTTTAATGAAATAAAAATGGATAAAGTAAACAAAATATATTCAATTTCTCTCTCGCCTCTTTACACCTGCTAGAAATTATGAGGAAAAGTGTCATTTTGCAAATTATAGTAATTCCTTTCTTTTTCCATATCATAATTGCATAAAATAAGTCATAAATCATTTTTTCAACTATTATTTTCGGTTACTTGTTGTATTTTAGGCTTTAATTTAGATTTAGGTCAAGAAATATAGTATCGAATATTGTGGACAAGTCCCATGCAAATGTATATCATGCGCCTTATCATAAGATAAATTTTACTAATGAAATAAGTTTAAGATAAATTAAACTACTGATACTTTAGTTTTAATAAATTTGTGCAAGAGAAATATGTTTTGCTTGATCTTCTGATCTTGAAACACTGAACGATTTCTGTAATTTATGCATTAGTTCCTTCTATAACATTATTTTGGTATTACAGTATAGATTTCAATAAAAATGATTTAAGACTAAGTTCAATTTTGAATCAAATGCTTTTAAGCTTCAAATAGGTATTAATCCGTACAATCAACAGCATTATGCGCTTGAGTAAACATTACAGAAATGGAATACTCTTGAGAGATATAATTAGAGAACATTAAGCAAGGTTAATCAATTAGAAGAGACATTTTGCTCATACGTACAAATTTCACCCAATAATCTTTCTCTCGAACTTTTCATTCTTTGAAGTTTCTGAGATAAAGAGATTGTAGAATTACGGGGACAGTTAAGAATTTTAAATCTGATAAATCATTCCCAATAAGTGCTTTAGATTTCACGGATGAATGATTTAAATGGACACCAAATAAAAACGTCAAAGAAGACAATTGACGGAAGTGAGACCTACAATTAATCCTATCTCATTATACAAAAGATCTGATTTTAATTCTCTTTCATATTAAATCACCGTTGATCTGTTCACAAATTCGGCAAAACCGAAATCCGAAATTAGTTACTGTAACTTTCTTCTTACTATTAGTTTTTGCAGAATTTATGATTTTTTATCACCTTGTTTTATATTTCAAAATTGGAATAAATTGAATTAGACTTTCTTTCTTCCTTCATTCAAATAAGTGCATATATTTCTGTTGTTCAGATTCTCTGTTCCCTTTTATTACTATAAGTGTTGACGAACAACAAGTATGATCAATAAGTGGACAGCGAAACATGAGGTCCATTTGATTACTCCAGTATAAACAGCCATAACTTGACAGGGTACCCTGTAGATCAGCATATTATTGATGACAAATATATTCTTCTTGAACTAAATGTGAAAACTTGGCATTGTAATGAGTTGAAATGTTGTTAAATTGGATGAGAAGAAGAGAACAGAGAATCATTTTAATTATTATGAAAAAGAATGAGAAGGAAGAGGGAAGAAAATAGCACAAGAAATACAGTTTAGAAATTAATATCTAAAAATGACGACCATGCAAAGTCAAGTCCACTCATGAATAATTATTTCGAAATCGATTTTTTTTAAAGAAACTAACATTTCTTATTTTCAATAAAGATGTTATCCGTTTTTTCGACCATAATTTTTATTTTCTAGGATTTATTTTGAAATTATTTAAAAACTTAAAAATTTAGTTAAAATGTCCATTTGTAAGCATGATAAAATTTAGAGATCTTATCATGCAATTTATGAGACAATTTTATCAAAGGTTCTGTAAATTTGATTTTTCGTAGGTGATAAATTAAATGACCCCCAAGAGAGAGGGAGTCTGTAAGGTATGTAATATCCATAAAAGGTTTATATCCACTGATCCTTCAATATTCATTATACCTATAAAGGTACATTGAATAGGCTATCGCCGAACAAATGATGCATGTCAACCCTCGGTGCCTCAGTCGTCATCAGATGTGCTCATATACAATTGGAGAACAAACACATCAAATGACAATATCAACAAACTGCATCCTGCAAATACATGCATGGTTGAACAGTTTGCAAAATGAACAATGATGACGAACAAATTTATATTTGCATATAAATGATACCGCATCTATGCTTTGAAGTGCTTTTCAAATGTATATTACCGCACCTATCAATCTCAGCCAAACTAAGGTAAACAACAAAAGCCAAGATAGATCGGAGAAGCAAATATTGACCGTGAATATCTGAGCAGAATGTGTAAATTAATCATGCAATCTATGTAAAATAGAAAAGCACTCGAGAAAGAAATAGAGAGAGAGACAGAAGAAAGGAAAAACAGAGAGAGATGTTTTCGTAAAGAAATTTTATCGGACCTATTTTGGAAGTATTATTTCAATAATCACTTTAGCAAATTTTTCTTCAAAATAAAAATCTCGAGAGTAAAAAATATAATGTGGCATGAAAGATGGCAGTCTTTTATTGCTACAATTATCCATTTTACTATTCAATTTGAAATTTATTTTACTACAGTTATAGATAGATATCTTGGATAATTTATATAACAAAAGTGAACCTACTGTAATCGTCTTAGTGAATCTTTCTGACAATAGAGTGATTCCCATATTCACCAGATGACCATCCGGTTCCCGGTTAATGCGCAACTGTCCAGTTTGATGATCAATATCAGCCCATTGCATGCTATTCATATGCTTTTCATTTTTAAATGAAGTAATAAAATATTCAACTGCAGCACCAGTTTTCGCTGTTACAGTACCAAACATCGTGCCAGGTTGAATATTTCGATTAAGCCGATACTGCTTCTTGAATTCGATTGGTGCTTCTAATCTTGGATTATTTGAGATCAAAATGTAATGAAGCTCAGTGGCTCTGCGCAATTTATCATCTTCAAATCTAAAAAAGTCTTTTATTAAAAAAAAAATTCGAAAGAAAAGGACCTCACGGATAGGATAATTCAAAAGGCTAAAAATCAAACTCAGCAGCTAGCCTAAGCTCAATTCTACATTCCTCGTTGATTAATTTCGGGAAATTTTTGAGTATGAACTTACCCATTATTAGTGTTTCGATCGTAAACCAATACGGAAAAGTATTTCGGATCACCTGTGAAGGGCCTAACTATGAAACCATTATCGTTCATGCTCGAAATGATTTCTTCACTTCTCATAATTTTATAACCAATTGTTCCATTTAAACCAGCATCCTTGTCTGAACAATTCCATGGAACGAACGATGACTCAGACCCAACTAATATTGCTTTGGTTCCCAAGCATTCTGGCGAATTATCATTTTCATCATCCACTTGAATCGAAATAACCCTTCTCTTCAAACCATAACCTTCAGCAACAACTAGACGGTAAAAGTTGACTTGTTCACGATCCAACACTTCCACACAAATTAAATTCTGTTCTTGGAGACGAAATGCTTTCCCGGGCGGTATTTGGCGTAACAATTGCAAATCTTTCCCCAATGTTTCAATTTTGCCACATATTTCATCAACATTGTTGTTTTCCTTAAAATATTTAATTAATGAAAGATTTAGAAAGTTCTGATAAAAATTTTAAACTCCGTCAGGAATTTACCGTATATGAGGAATTGAATAAATAAAAAGATAAGCCGATATTGCGATAAAAGAAATAAATAATGAAAGAAAGATTAAAAATACCTTAACATGAACTGTAATTGTATTTGTGTCAGAACTTCCATTTCTTTTATTCACTACCATAACTCCAAAAGTTACATTGTTAGAAGATGATATCGTTTCAGCTTTAATTATTAAATCAATTCGTTCTCCAACATATGCATTCAGACGTTTCGTTAAAAATATGCTTCCATCAATAGAATCAATCCAAAATAATTCGAGATTGCTATGAGTGTGATTAATTAAGTTACCATAACTTAATGAATACAATATTTCTGCTTCGCATGCGACGGCATGTATTTGAGTAATTATTTGTCCAAGCAAACTATCATCAATTTCAATGTCAGTTTTCGGATAATTTGTAAAATTAGGTGTACAATTTTTTTCTTTGTCACTGTGAATGAAAACGAATGCGGCACTAGAAAGTGGCGGAATGCCTTTGTCTATCGCTATCACGGTGATATTATAGATGTGATTTGGTATTAGAGGATTGACCCGTGTGATATTACCAGTGTTTTCATTGATCTAAAAATAGCAATCAGAAATCGAAATTTGGCCAGGTTTATGATTAAATTCAAATTTGAACTGGATTAATTAAATATGAGTCAAAAATGATTAGAAATTGAGAAAGATATTAAAACAATTAATAGAGACATAATTTATAAAATCGTTCAAAACTTTAACTGATAAAATAACCTTAAATGGAACCCATTTCTGCTGCAGTTTATATCTTACTTCGCCATTTAGTGTTGAATCCAAATCTCGTGCCAATACTTTACCGACAAAACTATCGTTTGCACTTGGTGAAGTAAAGAAATGATAAAATTCCTGTTCCCAGTGCGGTGTGTTATCATTTGAATCTTCTACTTCAATCATCACCGCACATTTTGTTTTCAAGGATCCTCCATCCGTAACAGTTACGGTTAAATTATGAAACTGAGCCAGTTCAAAATCCAATACCAATAATGCTCGAATCTGATGTTTTATTTTGTCATTTTGCAAATTTTAGAAACTCTGATAACGTCTAATAATAAGGAATGTATGGAATAGCCTTATTTTTGAAATTTTAGCAAAATTTCATTTTTGAAATTTGAGCAAAAATTCATTGCTAAATTTTTTCAAAATATGTTTCTAAAAAACCAGAGAAAATGGTTCAGAAAAATGGTGATTATTCTGAAAAATGAGAAGATAACTGTAGTAAATTAGAAAAAGATACAATTCCAGTATGTGGATCAATGCTGAATATTTCCTTGCTATCATTTGTCAGTTCATAAAATAATGTTCCATTTGGACCGCTGTCATTGTCAATTCCATTAAAAAGTCCCACAATTGCACCAGGAATGTTATTTTCAAGAATAATGAATTTATTATTCTCGGGACATTGCGGTGAATTATCATTACTATCCTAGAATCCATGTAAATTTTTTTTCTTAAGCAAATGAACTATCACTTCACAACCTCTTATTATGTATATATGAAAAATTTTGTATCTAAAATGCAGTTTGCTTAAAAAACTATTTTTTTTTGCTTGACTTATTAGCCAATTTTAAAGCATTTCTAATTTTACCAAATTAGTTTATCATTGAAGAGAGGCCTTAAATTCAAAAGAAAGGAAAAATTATTTGGAGGAAGGACTCGAGAGAGTTAAATTTCACCTCTACATAGAGCTGAAGTAGGAATTCGTGCTTGTTTGGAATTGAATTTTTGTCTAAATTGAAAGCAGCAACAGAAATTGATAGATAATTTATAATTTCATGGTCGATCTTTGATGCAACGAAAACTTCACCGGATGGAAGAATTTGAATCGGAAAGTTTTCCGTAACTTTGAATGTTTGAAATTCAAAACGTTGGGTTATATTTTTGGGTGATAAACCAGTTATAATTGTTCCCAAAGGTATATTTTCTGGTATTGACAATGTAATTACTGGAGGAAATGAATAGATCTGAAAGAAAAATTATTTTAGCATTGTTTTGTCAAAACTGAAAATCTTGCAGGATCTTATAACTTAAAATGATAAAGATAAGTAAAATAAAAAGTTTTATACTATTGCAAGAAGAAAATATATGAAAAGAGATAGGATAGCTTAACCTTAACACCTACCATTATCCGATGCGCAACAAATTTTTGACGACAATTTTAAAATTCATAAATATGAGTGAAAAATTTAGGCTAAGGGATGAGTAATTTTAAATCATGGTCAACTCCTAAACAACAGATGAAAAGCTTATCTGCTTGATATAAGTTTCTTTTAGTAAATAAATTTGTCCTTAATATAGTCTGCTTGCTAAAATGTACTATTGAAATTGCAATAGAAAGACAATGTAGTAATTGATAATCAGAAAATTTAATAAAGTTATAATTATCTTACGATGAAGAAAAATTAAATCCGAAAAAATACTATTCAAATTAAAAAAACTCACTGCTTCATCTTCTTTAATTTCTACCACAACTTTAATTGTACTATGCCTTGGTTGTTCACCGCCATCAGTTGCTGTCACATGAAATTGCATTTGATTCAAGCCATTAGGAAATTTCATCAGTTGTACAATGCCCGTGTTTGAATCAATACCGAAAAAGCTACTGTTGACAGTGTATGTGATATGACCGTTGTGACCATCATCTGCATCATAACATCGTAATCGAAACAATTCTGCACCAATTCCTATCCAACGAGAATCAGTAACGAACTGAGCTGTTCCATTAAGTTCAAAGATCGGAGAATTATCATTCTGATCAAGAATATTCAGTGTTCCTTCATGCATTCCAGTTGACCATTCACCATCCGCATAAACTGTGAAACCAATTTTAGGCTCCACTTCACGATCAAACGAACGACGAGCTCGTACTTCACCCGTCAGTTCATTGATTAGCAAATCAGTGGTATTGATACGATAACGAACATTTTTCTATAACTTTTGCAATATTAAAATAAACTTTTCAACTTCAGATTATAAGTAAATTTCAAACATATCAAATATATTACAAATCAGTTCAATCATTTTATTTACAAATAACTACGCTACAATTTGAATGTTAGTGCAGAAGAAGTCCAACTATTGAAAATAATTAATTATAACAAGCAAAATGATAGAGCATGAGAAATATGAAATTATATAATTCTTTTTTTTTGTAAGATGTAAGCTATTGTTATAATAACTCACAAGTGATGGGTACACAGAAAATACAGCTAAGATTTTTTCTGGTGATGAATTCTCGCTGATTTCAATGGACCAGTTATTCGTTTTGCTGAATTTCGGCACTTGAAGCATACTATCCAGCAGCCATATATGTACAGTAGCATTGTTACGTGATAAACGACCGCCGTTATCTTTTGCTCCCACAATAACCTGATTGTATATATCGATATCATCAAAATCATATGTTTCCTCACTATATTCATCAAAATGATAAGTTAAATATTAAAAAAACTTAAAAAAAACCGGTTAAAAGTACTAACTTCTAATTTTCGTTTAAAACTAAGTGAATCAGCATGTGTAGCCAGATGTATTTTTCCAGTTTTATGATCTAATGCCAAGAAATTTGGAACAGAATAATAAAATAAATATGATATTTGCGCAAATTTTGGACTATCATTATCAAATGCCTTTAGCTGTATGAGATGGGTGCCAGATGGATCACCTCGTACAATGTAACTATGGTACTCAAGCTGTGCAAAATATGGATCATTGTCGTTTACATCCTGAAAATAAGTCAAAATACAACATCTTATCAACGCTTTATAATAAAATGTTAATAACTTTTGCAAACTATTTAAACTATTGCGTATTATTTTTTCAAAGAAAGAAATAATAATTATTAGTTTCATTTCACATTTGTTGTTCCCTTAAAGGCTACATTTAAAAAACAAAAATAATGCAAGAGTTGTGGTACTGAGTTAAGAATATACGAAAAAAAAAGAACGAACTAGGACGTTAATGATAAGAAAGACTGAGGAACTTCGCGGTGGATTTCCATGATCGGTAGCGGTAACAGTAATTTTATGTTCGTTTTTGATTTCTCGGTCAAGCTTTGAACGTAGTAATATTTCTCCAGAAGATTCTTTTACCATAAATATTTGAGAGTCTTCCATGCTATATGAAATAGCACTGTTAATTCCATGATCCTAAATATTAGCTAATTTTCATGACGCGGAAACGAATTACTTTGAAAAAAAAATTTCTACATATCACTTATTGGCATTTCTTCAACAACTTCAACCATCTAATCAAACGATATTTCTAATACAATCACTTAAAGATTTCATTTGACAGTTTTTGTTCAACAGGAAAAATCTCACCTCATCAGTTGCAAATATTTTGAAGATGACGGTGAGTGGTGGAGTATCTTCCGATACTTCAATCTCGTAAAAAGGAGAGGAAAATTGCGGTTTATGATCATTCACATCGATAATTGCTACTTCAATTGTGCAGATTGAAAATTTATCACTGGGCACTGCTTTTCGTACTATTATTTCAAATTCATAATTCCATTTTGTATGATTTGGCCATGTTTTGGAAAGCGTTACGATACCTATCAATTATTTCTATTAATTTTCTCAGATAATAAAGTGTTTTAGGCTATGCTTTAGATTATCTTTTCTTGTTTCTTCATTTCTTTACTCTGTTATTCATTTCATGACAAATGCCAGTATTTCGTTACTAAAACACTTGGCATTTGAATTCCAATGCTTCGCTGATCATCGAATTAAAAAAAGTCAAAACAGGAAAAATTGAATAATAATTTATTTATTTACCTAAAATTTATTGTATTTATTCATTACCCTGTCTTAACAAGAAAATTAAAATCAAAATTTTACCTGTATTTTTGCCAACCAAAAAAAGATCATCATTTTTGCCATCCTCAATAATCGAAAAATGTAAATCTTCCCCAGCAGAAGAAGCTCGAACCGCCGCAACAAATGATCCAACTGGTGAATTTTCAAAAATACTAACTTTTTTGAATTTTTCTTCAAGTACTGGAGCGGTATCATTTAATTTCATAACATAAACCTGGAAAAAAATATATAAACCTGGAAATGAATAAATTTCATTAGTTTGTCAGTTCCAATGTCTTATTCATTGGCAAATTTTTTTTGACCTTTCTTCTGTCCTCTTTCACCGGGAAAAAGAAATTTCCTTTTTGGTTTTAATAATCCTCAAAAATATTGTTGACCTTCAGATCACGCTCCAAAGAACGTGGTGGCACTCCATCATCTGTTGCATAAAATTTCAGCAAGAATTGCTCGATCGGCTTATCCACTAATCGGTTTTGTCGTAAAATAGCGTAATTTTTGCCACTTTCTAATCGAAAATAATTTTCATCGTTGCCATTAATTATAGATATCTGAACATTTTGTCCATAATCACGATCATTTGCCGTTATCACAGCAACTGTTGAGCCTATAGTTGTTTCTGAACTTATCGATGCAAATTCTGAACCAGTCGGATAAATCCTGTAAAGCAATTAAAATTTGAAATTAGAACCGAAGCAATTTCATGACAGTAATAAAAATCTGAAATTAATTACCTAAAATTAATTTCGGGATCATGTAAATTGGTATCTGTGAGATGTATATAAACCAAAGTACGACCAATTAATTTTGGTTCACCTTGATCTTCTGCTTCCACCATCAAAACACACATTCCTGAGCAGTCAGGAAGACATCCATCTTCTGAGCAGTTCAATGCTGAATACTATAAAGCAGTGATTTAATTTTGCTTTGCTGATCCGGAAAAATATGCAGCAAATAAAACGACTGGAACATTAAATACTTTAAGCAAATCGGATTAAATGATGGGCAAAGCAATTATTGTTCAGGACATTTGCTTCGCAATAGATTTTTTGAAAATTGCTATGCAATTTTACGTCATGCAAAAATATGATTCACTGTTTGAATTACAAAATATTAGATTTGTTTTTGGAAATTGAAATGCTCTCCGTAAATACATAGAGTTTATAGACAGAATGTAACCATTTTCTTCACCTGAACAGTTATTACACCTGTCCTATGATCAATCTGGAAATATTGGGAAGGATTGGTTGTAAGATTATAGCTAATACGACCGTTATCACCAACATCTGCATCGGTAGCTTCAACTCGTAATATTGTTACATCAGATAATATCGATCCATTCAGTTGAACATCGTAACGTGGTTGATGAAATTTTGGTGGATTGTCATTTGCATCTAATACATTCACATAAACTGTGCAATAACCTGAGCTAAAAGAAAATTAATCATTAAACTACGATATTAATTATTTAAATTAAAAGCCTGATTATTAATGAAAAATATTCTATTAATAAGAAAATGTTTTTCTCAATATTCGAGAGAGATCAATTAACAATCATACTCACATATTCATTTAGCTAGAGATCAAGACAAGGTTTCATAACCTTAACTGTGATAAAAAGCACATAAATTAGCTTCATAAAATTAAAAATGAACAATAACCGAGGTGGATTGCCTCCATCATATGCAGAAATATTGAGAATGAATAGATCCTTCGTTTCACGATCTAATTTTGCTAATAGTTCAAGTAGTAAGATATCTCCACCAGTACTATTTGAAGATCGTACTAATGTGAAAAATTCTTCTCCACCCTAAAAAAAAGAAATCTCAATCTCAATCCCTGAATTTTTCAGAATTTCTAATGATTTTCTTTAAAAAAATCAACTGACTTTAAGGACATAATTTACAATTGTGCCATTTTCAGCTAAATCGGGATCGTTTGCTGGTTGTAACCGTATTCGACTACCAATAACCGCTGATTCAACAATTGAAACATTCTAGAAAATAGGTGAAATAATTGAAATTAAAAAAATTTTGTTTGGAAGGATATTAGAAAAATTTTTAGTCAGATATTTTTTTAAAAAATCACTATACAAGTACTTTGCTTGATTTTGTGTGAATTTAAATCTGATTTATATTCAAGTAGCAACAACAATCAAATTTTCGGGAGACGAAGTAATATGAGAATTAACTATGCACCATAAATTCATGGATTCTGGACACCTGCGCCTGTTTGAATCAGTCATCTCATGCACTTTCATTCTCACTAATTATCTCTGTTTCAGATCCCCGGTAATTACGAAAGCTCTCTCCGTTGTACTGATGAAGTGAAATGTATAATTAACGCTTCAGATTAATGATCCTTCTCTAATATACACAACAAAATTTACCATTCATAAATCATTCTGCGGAAAACGATTTAATCATAATATTTTCTTGCTTTTTAATTATGTAAAATTTTCGACGACATACCAAAGTTAAAATCATTTTGACAATGCTAGAAGGTCAAAGAGATTCATTTTGATATTTGACGGAACATCCTGTTGAATTTTATGAAACAGCTATTAAAGTACAATCATTTGCTATGTTCCTAATTATATAAAAATTGAAAAATTGATAAACATTGCTGAATTTTCCCCCAAATCTTGAAACTTATATATCGATTTTCCGGAGTGGAGATCAAAAACTTATTCATGAATAATACTTTTCGAATTTCCATTAAAAAATGAGTTTTTTGATCAGTTTTTTTTTCATGATTGCAAATGAACAAATTATCAAAATAATGATTAATGACTAACTGTTTACTCATTAGGCTTCAACTATCATTTCATGATGTTTGACCTGTCTACTAAACTTCTGGTATTATATGCTAGCAACTTAAACGAACCACATATTTTGAGGGGAACATAGGACTGTTATCATTAATATCGAGCACATTGATTCGAACTGCAATGATTGTAGTCAGTTCGGCAGTTAAAATTAAAATAATTGTTCCATTGGGTGATATTGCCTCCCGATTCAATGGTGCAGAAATATGAACTTCGCCAGTTTTAATATCCACCGATACAAACTGGTGATGACCACTTAGTCGATAAGTGAGGTTTGATTCTAATGTAATTTTGCCGATCAATGTACCTTCCGGAGCATCTACAACATATAGTTAAGATAAAGTGTCTGGGAAGCAAAAAAATTAAAACTTGAAATTCAGTTTTAGCTCTGTTATAGAATCGGCTAATTTATAGTTTGAATTATATTCAATTTTGAAATTTTCATTAAAATTACTGATACAGAATGCATAGCTTGAGGCAAGATAATCAGTTAATAATGGTGCTGCAGTAATTAGTGCATTAGTAGACGATGGTGCACTTTTATTTCCATTCTTTAAAACGAGAAAAAAATTATACCTTCTGGAACTTCAAAGTCGAAATTTTGTTCCGAGAATAATCGAATGGGAATAATGAGATAGTAGATCACAGATATTTGAAGAGCACATCGCATTCCACACACTCAATTGACATTAATATTTTATATCGAAATATATTTTAAAAAAGCACAGTGGAACAGATTAAAAAATATAAATTTTGCTGACGAAAAGTGTTAAAAATTCGTAGTTTGATAGTTTAACGATTTAACGAAGATAATCTTTCGAGATAAGACAACATTTTTCATACTTTTCAAAAAGTTTTTGCATGTCTGTATTAATGAGAATTGTCATTGAAGTGGAAAAATGGAGAGTATACCATATTTTTCGAGCTCAACTTAATGAGTAAATTATTTATGAGCATAATAATTTTGACAAGTAATTATAAAAATGAAAATAGGAGAAAAGCATTAGAAACGATAAAATCTAAAGTATCAAAATATGGACGAGAAATTTAAGAGCAAAAAATCACTATTACTAACAAATTAAAAAGTACTCAAACTGGCAACATTCAATGAATAATTACAATTACAAACTACTGCCAAATAATATTCTTCAGAAATAAAAAATAAAAAAATGAATTTCTGTTTGAGATGTCACACGTAGTTAATTAATTCTTCTACTGGCATTGAAATTTTGGACTTTATTTATTTTGAAAGATTTTTTTAGCCCAAACTATTACTGTCAAATATTGTTGATGATAATTTATATTTATTTAGTCTCACCTTCACAGTTTTAATAGATGAAATTCACAAATAAAATGATTACGCATTGAGTGATTTAATTAATTTAAATTTTGCTAAGAGCAAAAAAGATTGGAAAAAAGAGTGAGCCAAATAAACTTTCTCTGTAATAAGCATAAATAATTCAACAAATTCTTTTTATAAGTGAGTGATCAAAGAATGATGTAAATCTTTTTTTTCCAGTGACGAAAGAGGAATGATTCTGAACAGTTAGCGACAGATGGATGGATACATGTCCGCGGATAATGACGTGCAGATGTAATCTAATCGCATGATCATAGAATAAACCCAAATGACGTGTCAATGGACTATTTTGAATTATTCAACGGATGAAAAATTAAATTGAATAATCCAAATAAATGTAAAATTACTTACCGTGGTGGAGCAGATTTGCAAAATGAGTCACGGTGTGGCTATGAGTGTTAGAATGTCAATTTCTTGAGAAATATGTGATCAGACATTTAAAGTGAAATTATATAGCTAATTAATAGCCATTATAATAGCTTCCTTATTTGTGAGAATTTCGTGGTATTTTTTATTGAAAAATAACCTGAAGAATGAAATGATATTAATTCTCTGCACGCAATTGGCTTATTGGAATTGATAAGGAATGATAACGAATCATAGTTCAGTTCTTTGTCAGTCCATTAATACAAATAATATTTGGAATAAATGCGAATTGAAGGGAATCGCTTTTTAAGATAGACTGATATTCCGAACAGTGGTAGGCGAGTAAGCTGGGGTGGGTCCTAAATAGGTGACCATTGGGCGTGGTCTCTTGTCATCTACAATAGATGCCCTTTCTCTAGCTGTTAACAAAGGTCAGCAATATATGTTGTATAGATAGAAAATAAGAGAGAAGTGTCGTTTGTAGAGACGACCTTCGAACCGCTGAGGGGATGCGGTATGAAATATTTCCGGTACTGAGCACTTGAGATGTTGATAATACTCAATCAGCGGAAAAAACTTATGCAAAGATCAAATTTGCATGGAAATTGAAAAAGTAGAAGTTGTTGAATTTCTCGAGAGCACTACAAAATATGAACTGTGCACATTTTCACTACAAAGCTTCGATAATTTCCGTCCTTCAATTATTTTGCAAATATAATGCGGCGTTACCACTATGATCAATATGAGCTGTTGTTGAATAATTTCAAGATAAAGAGCACAGATTGTATGGAGAAGGTTTATTTGTTTGAATAATTAGCTTTCAGATTCAATTATCTATCAAACAACTGAATCAAATTAATATCAATAGCTACTTAATTTGCAGCTATTGGCGAAGTTGATAGTAATCCTGAAATCCAAAACGTTCGAAATATAATCTGAAATGTTCCAAGGTTTTTTTATAATTTAACATAAAATATTAAGTTTAATTATTATTTGAGGAATAAATTTTATTCTTTGCTTCTCAATGTTCATCAATTTGATTCGTATTTTAATACTCATTTTTCTACCTCGCAGTAAAATAGCAACATTATTTAATGGTTTTTAATACGTATTTTTTCCCATTTTTTAAAAATTTTTGTTGTAATCTAATTGCTTTGTTCAACAGCGTTGTATTGTTAACACAGACAAAATAGTTTCAAAGAAAAACTTTAGAAATCACTTTTACATCACGTTGATTGTCAATGAAAATTGAGAACTTCAATCTGTTTAAATTTAATTCTGCTTAATCAATTGAATTCAAAACTGTAGTGAATCGGAAACATCGCCATGAATGAAATTAATAGTGTTATTCAATAATTCTGTTTAGCTTTGCTTCCGAATGACCACCACGCTGGAATTAGTCCAAATGTTTTCCATAATTCCTTTTTTGAAGTCAGTTTCTTTTAGAAACTTAATTACAAATGGAAATATTGAGAAATTTAGAGGATATCTAAACATTAATTTTTCTCCTCTAAATAGAAGTAGTCTGAATAAATGTTTAATCACTTATAATATATTGTCTTATCAATAAGTATGAAACTAATTACATGTTAACGAAGTAGTGGAAAAGAAAACTTTAAAGTGTTTCAATTTGGATAAGAATGAAATGATGGATAAAAACTCATAAGTTCTGCACTCGAACTCCCAATAATTGAGCAGTACACATTCAGAAAATATGAAAGCACGGCTTTGGATAAGAATGAAATGCAACTTCGACCTGAAACAAAAATTGAAAAATTTTTTTTCCTTGGAATAGAAGAGATGAAGGAGAAAAATAGGAAAAATAAACTTTACAGTTTTATTAATTTCCAGATATTTCAATGGAATTTAAGTTTAGCTGTTCCTTCATTACCAATAAGAATGCAGAAAATCAGCGTTGCATCGTTTTCATCGGATGAATGTTTCTGTTGCTGTTCGAATTGCCAGTTCGTTCCAATGATTCAACAAATCCCAAGGACGAAAACTCATCTTTTTTTCCTCTGTGGAATGTCTTTTCTGCAAGTAGAAAAAATTGCGGACATCAACATGAAGGGAGGAAAGTTACCATAAAGGAAAACATTTGAAATTTTCAATCAAAAATACCCTCTCACAACAAACTTTTCTTTCAATTTCTACATTTGTACTATCAATTGTTTATGCAACAATGATAATGGATGCTGCAAGTATTGATAATGGATCCTATTTACAGTATCACCTTTATTTGTGAATTTAGAATAATACATAAATGGGAACGAATATTGAGACATACACACACATACACACACACACACCCACACACATGCAATATGCATATAATTCTCCAAATGAAATACAATACTATGTCGATGATAGCGTAAAACTCCGAAGTACTGCTTTTTCGACGATGATTTTCGATGCGATTTCATTAAAGCTATTTGAAATCAATCTTTCTGTTATTAATATATGTGTGTAATCCCCAAAACGAAGACGAAGTACAGATGAATTTGCAACCGATCTTCAGATTCTAATAAAATGCACTATTGAATTAAACTAGTATTTGTGAACTTTAAGATAAAATGGCATCTATGCCGAGTACAGGAATGGAAATGTTAACTTTAATTATAGCCATTTTAAATACGATGCTCACAAAAGACAATTTAAGAATTTGAGAAATAGGCAGATTACTTCAGCCTGATTGATGATTAGAATTACTGTAGATATTTCAGTGTAAAATAAATACAATTCTTTTCATGTTACAATTTTTTGACATCGAGAACTCTTACAAATGACGATTCTCTCTCAAATTGAAGTAGATTTTCAAGTTTTTATTCTGTACATAAAACGAACACAGCTGGAAATCAACATTATGATAGCCCGAGAAATTTCATTTCCAGGCTGTCATCAAATTGTAAGCAATCTATTAAATTTCCAACTTTCGATTTTTCTTTTTTTTCTTTTTTAAATTAAAACCACTGGCCTTGCTAATAAGAAGCAGTTAAAAGTAAAATAAAACAGGAATGAGGAGTGTACACAATCTCATTCTGATATGTATGAAATGTCAGCAAGGTCATATATTATTTCTCTTTTCCATAACTGTACCATAAATATTAGCGAACTTCCCGTCAACAAATTTGTATGTTTTTATATCATTTCTTTGAGATACCTTTGGAATCACAATTTGACCAATCCGTAAATCCATAGATATTTGCAATGTAACGACGAACATGGGAAAAGCGAAAGATCTGAAAGGTCGCAGGTCAAGCTTTTTATTCTTTTTAATCGAAGTTAGAAGGAAGCATCGCTTCATATTGTTCTACTGAAAATATGAGAGAGTGATAGCAATACACAAATTAGAAAGGAAAATATAGCAACTTGACTATCTTTTGACAATGCAATCAATAGTAATCCGGTAAGGATGACTAACGGTCAGCAATTATTATTAAGGATAATGTCTCATGCACAAATCACTTTACTAACCACTGTTCGTTTGCTGCTCAGCAAGAAGAATATTAAATTCTCAACGGGATTTATGATATTTAGAGATAGTTGGAGAACTTTCAGCGTGTGTAAAGGAAAATGAATTCGACAAGATCCTGGCACATCACGAATCGAAATAGCTGTTTGGTCGGGATTCAGCATGACATCTCTCTCCTTCACGTGCTCCTGATCTTCCTTCATTCTTTCAAATAATCTTTCCGATCGTTTCTTTTCATTTTCACCTCTTCCTTCAGATAACGGTTGTATGTTTTATATGGTGGTTTCAATTTTATTATAGTTTTTTTCACGTAGAGGTAAACAGGCGTAAATAGTTAGATCTTCGCATCCTCTGGCTTTTCCTCTTTTCTAATACTTTTGGGAGAGAGACTATATCTGTACGAATTACTTGAAATCATTGAGTTCAGATTTAGATCAGTGCTTATACAAATTTCATGAAGTCACTTTACGTGAATAGTTTATTTAATTGGATTTGATTTGGTTTGGGAGAGTCCTTTTTGTGACTTATCGAATGTGGTTGTGAAGACTTTCTTCTTTGAAGAGATTTCCTTTAATTGATGTTATAAGATCAGTTATGTTTCCTTTAATATGGGAGTTGATCAATCGGTCAGATCATCTTCCGTTAAGTTTTGTTTGGATTAGTCGCTTTAGTTTAATCCTGACTGCTCCTCCAGGAAAAGATGATTCAGTGTACTAAGAAACCAAGTTGATGATCTCGTTTATTGGTTCAGTACTAATACTGATACCGAGATTAACACAGACGGCTGACTGTTTTGGTAATGACAATAACTTCAACTAAATGTG